TATATATATATATATATATATATATATATATATATATATATATATTGTTTTTTTAAAAGCGTTTTCTATGATAAATTGGGGTGATACCTGTGATACAGAGAAATGCGTAAAAGGAAAACTGCACAACTACAAAATGCGCAAACGAAAAATGCGCAAATACAAAGTAATTATACTAATGATCTTAAGTTTTGCTCCAATGCATAAATGTATAGAATAATGACCCTTCATGATTTGCAAACATTTAAAGTCCCTACTCCCGGAATGACAACATGTACCAGTTTGGTTCGCAGCTGTTTATTTTTTATTCACAGCTTTCCATGTTAACCCTACCCGGCCATGTACCTGCCTAGTAGGGTTAATGGAAGTCCCATGATCCAACCAGCTATGGATGCGCTGGGCAGGGGATGGTAGCCCCGGTCAGGGGGGGGAGTGTAGCCAGGGGAGCGTCCACTCCCCGTGTCGTGAAAACCCTTGACGCCAGTCCCAGAAAAACAAACGAGATTAGAGTTAACTTAAATTATCGTTCTTGTTACTCGCGGGTAATGAGTTTAAAAGTCTAGCATTCTTGGGCCGCACCTCGTTAGAATCACAAAGAATGTCACGATAGTGCGTACAGTGAGTCCTCTTCTACTGCGGAGGATAGAACCTAGGCAAAACATTTAAGCGCTTTTCCTTGTCTCGTAGGTACTCCGATTATTTGAATTTCACTATCGCCCCGAAGAAAGTCTACCCCCCCCCCCCCCAGAACGAAATTAAATGTATGTAGAAAATATATACTTTTAACAGTGTCAGCCCCCCCCCCCCCCCCCCGGAGAAACAAGTCTGGAAGAAACAATGCTAGTTACTGTTTAAGTGCTGCTTTAACTAAATTTGTGCACTAAACGCGCTCCACCGGCAGCTAAGGCCGACAACCCATGCAGCTTTCATTAGCCTTTGACTGCATCAACATTTGTCTCCTGGATAGCCCGGAGTGCTTTCCCTCTTGAACCTGATTTAGACATGAATTGAGGCATATCATATGCGAAGCAGTACACTTTAATCTTGCTTTAACTCAATGACGAACAGCTTATTAAAAATAACTAAAAGCTTTTACCGGGTCGCAGCACTGACAGACCCACCTTTTCCTGACAATGCCTTGAATGTAGCCTATGTCAGCAGGTAGCAAGGCTGTGTGAAGTATCTCATGTGAAAAGAAAATTGCGAAGACAACTACGATTTTTACCATATCAGGGTAGAATCTGAATTGTTGAGGCCAAGTGTAATTTATGCACTGAACGAAAATGTTTATCTAAAGGGACATAACTGGATAAATATAATTTTCTAAATGTTTACGGTAGTTGTAGTTCTTGTCGTTGTACACTAATGGATTATGTTTTCATTACTAGATAAGTTAAAAGGTTGTAAATTAAGTTCATGGTATTATAGACTCTGTATTGTATTACAGAGCTGAAAGATGTATGTACAAAATTGATCCGGGTTAATGTGAAAGATTTAAACCTAACGTACGAAAGTCATTGGCTGGATGTCAGTATACGACTACGTACATGTTGGGTCGAGGGATTTGGAGATATGGGGGTAGTTTGGTCGGGAGATTTGACTCCCTGCTCTATGTTATGTTGAAAAAAATATCTTGTCAGCAAATAATAGTGCCAAATAAAAAAGTACTAATTAACTTCTTGAAATGTCCGTTTTAAAAAAGTGAACAAAGAGCAGTAATTAAAAAATGTACATACAATTTGTTTAATGTAAATGAGGCAACACAAAAAAAATATATCTTTACATCTTTAGTTAAAGAGGAACAGGACAACGGAAACAATAAAAAAAAAAATCACTGATTATTACATTTTGTCTTCAAGTACTGCACAAAAATAGAACATTAGTAGTACATTGCAATTGGAATCTTTACCTATTATATGTGTACATATTACAAGCAGTGGTTCTCAATGTGTGCTGCATGGGGTAGCAGATTTTTAAATGTACTTTCAAAAACTCTGCAGTTTCTATCTTTTTTATTTACATATGTGATATAGAAGATTTATTAATACTACTAAAGTAAGTCAGCAGATATAGATGAAAAAACTTCTTAATACATCCTCTAGGCTATCAATAATTGACTAGGCCTACATCTCCCACTAATTTCCCTTCTCAGTACTTTGTGTTCGTACATACGCAGCTGTCAGGATTATAAAATCCTAGCTTCACAGTAGTTTTCAATGATAGTAGCAATATCATGTTGTATATTCCTTTACGGTTTTAAAGTGGAGTAGTTTGATTGATTATTGGATACAAAGTATGATGCGAAATATATTAATGTTGAGAAGGAAATGTTGGTAGTTGTTTCGGTCCAACATATGAAAGAATGTGTCATGGTCAATTTTTCACACTAATTATAATGAGCTGATATTCATCAATTGCCTGGTCTAATATACATGTTCATAAAATGTTAGATAAAAACAATTTTTTTTCTTGTAAGGATTTATGTGGCACACTGTGGCAACCCTGGATATAAAAATAGTTGAGGACCACTGCTATCACAACACACACATGAGAAAAAAATATTGAAAAATATTGAAAAATAATTAGGTAGCAAATTTTGAATAATAGTAGTAGAAAATGTTCATGGAAAATAAAGAAACATTTGTTACTCTTATATAATAAGACAAAAATAAAAGGCTTCTGAGTAGACATTTTAAAAAAAATTGTTGTAGCTTCATAATATACCTGTACAAACAGGCACATATAGAGGTAAATCACAGACAAGCTGTTTGGCTATAAATATTCATAAACAAGTCTACAACAGCGCAGCAGTTTAAAAATTTCAATGTGACATACAATAACATTTATTTTCCAGCATGGCTGACAGGTTCCTTCAAATTATTAATCAAAATTAACCACAACTTCACCTGTATAGAGAAAAATCAATACTGTTATACAATTAATATAACAAAAATAATGGAACAGAGTAATGTACTCAAAAAATTGTATATTTAAATGTCAGTAAAAGAAAGAAACCTTTTTCAACAAATATATACGGAATGTCATTTAATGTAATAATATTTCTAAGGCAATTATTTTTCTATCAAAAGAAAAATATTAAATTTGGCAGATGAATATCAAAGGCATTAGAATCAGAAATAGGTTTTTTAATTTAATAATAAAATGGTGCCTCATAAAAAAAAACCTCCAAGTGTAAAGTATCACATAAGTAAACATTTTAAAGAAGAGTCAGTAAACTTTGTAGTTTAAAGAGTTGTGGTGTAGCAACATTTCTAGTAATACTCCTAAAGAAAATATTTAAAAAAAAAAACATCATAGAATTTCTAAATACCATTTATATTGACAGATCAAGTTAATATTTATTATTTTATTTTTAGATCATTAAAAATAATTTTATATAAAAAAATTAAACAATAAATATATCACAGAATTGTTAAGTCTTAAATTAAAAATAATACAATGGATGGAATAAGTGAGTATGGTTATATAATATTTTGCCCAAAACCATTTATATTTGTAAAACTATTTGATTATATAATTACTGTTAAAGTAAACATGACTAACACCTACAGAATAAATAAACCAAAAATACTGCTCATTAATAAAAAGGACCCTCATTTGCTGAAGAATATATCATTTACAAAAATAAAGTGATATAAAATAAATTTTATACCATTTTACAATGGAGTAGATAAACATACTTTATAAAGTAAGGCCCTAAGGCAATTTATGGTCCAGCATCTACATCAGCAGCAAAATACCACCAGGATCTAAAGATCAAAATACCACCAGGATCAGCAGCAAAATACCACCAGGATCTAACTATCAAAATACCACCAAGATCAGCATCAAAATACCACCAGGATCTAAAGATCAAAATACCACCAGGATCTAAAGATCAAAATACCACCAGGATCTAAAGACAACAACTTGGACGACAAGTGCTAAACTAGGTGAAAACAACTGGCCAGATGAAAACAACTGAGCATCTGATGAAAACAGACCTAGTCACACAAACTGACCACTTGACACAAACAGACCTAGAAACAAAAAGTGACAAAAACAGACCAGTAAACTGACCAGTTGACCAAAACTGACCAAGTGATGAAAACAAAGCATGTGATAAAAATGGACCAGAAGACAAAATTTGATCCAACCATGAATGAGATCTAGCAGTAGAGAAGCAGGAATAAAAATTCTATGAAACATCAATGTCAACCTAAACAAAACTGTTTCACTACAATATTCCAAATGATATTTCAAACAATTACATGGAAATTTAATCAACTGAAAATGATTTTTATTTTACAAGAACTCTAAGATCTATAAGGCTTTATTTCTAAATTCTTTTACAATCTAAAGCCAGACAAGCAAGCTATTTATCTAACTGAAACTGGTTCTGTTTGCAATACAAACAAAACAAGAACTAAAAGAATAGAGGGAAAATAAATCTTCGCAACAGGCAATAAAGAATTCTAAGATCATTTTATATCAAACCATACATTAATTAAAATTAATAGCACTTTTAGAAAAATTACAATAAAAAAAGTATTGAGTAAATGTGCAGTGACTTAGATTCAAAGTTAACATCAAACTTAAAATTTTATGTCATAAAAAAGTGAAATTAATCTGTAAACTATTGAAAGATATCTGCAACATATTTTCTTTTTATGTATATTTTAAAAAAAAATACTTAAAAGAATAGTAGCAATTCACAAATGATAGCTATATTACAAGTTATTTGTAAACTTTATGTTGAGAAAATAAACAAAATTACGATTAGGCAGCATGTCTTTATTTATAGAGTAAAGAGATTTTAAAATGAAATAAAATACCATACATTTTAAAATAAGACTGGATATTATAAAAAATATTTAAAAATAAGAACAGTTTAAGGTTAATTAAAAAAGCTTAGTAAATTGAATTCAAATAAAATTTTACAAATTGGAATAAAATGTATTTAAAAGTAATTTTCTTCTTTTATATAATTACTAGTTTTCTTCTTTTTAAAAATAACTGAACATTTTATTAATAAGTCAGTGTCTGACAGTAAAAAATATGACCTACTATGCCTCAAACTCATCCCCATCACCGAAGTCATCTCTGCTGAGTTTGAAGTCATCGTAAATATCAAAGTCAGATTTATCCTGCGACAGGAAGGTGATGCCGCCCCTGTCATGGCCGCCGGCCCGCGTTACTCTACCGCTTCCCTGCGTGAACTGGATCGTGTGTTCCCCGCTGGTGTCAGTTCTTCTAAAATTTACAGGAGGCTCAACGGTGAGAGAGAAATGGTGGCTGGGACGGTCATACGTGTCCCAACTTGTGTCTGGCTTCAGACCACCTGAACCCATGAGAGGATCCTCTGAGGATATGGAGTTGTTTCTCTGTGGATGAAAGAAATAGGGCTGGAACATTTGTTTATATATTTATTTTTGTTTTTAAAGTCAAGTTTTGGAAGACTTTTATTTTTTATTTCAATTTATGATTATGAAGTAAAGACAATGAGGCTTGAAATTTGTTTAAAATCTTGATACAATTTATGTTTTTAAATTAAGTTTTAGAAATTATATTCATTTATTAAAAAATATTTCACTGTAGATGAAACAAATTGGGTTTGAACATTTGTTTATACATTTATTTAATTTTTAAGTTAAGTTTTGGAAGATGTAATAATTCATTTATTTAAGATTATTTCACTGTGAAACAAATTGGTTTTGAATGTTTGTTAAAATTTTCTAATAAAATATAATTAGAGCCAAAAATAAAAAACCTTGATGAAATTATATTAAGTCCCACATTTGATTAGCCACCATGATAAGCTATGTTAAACCTTAAGCAGCATACAGTAAGCTCCAGGATTAGTTTGTTATATTTGTATCATTCATCATTATATCTAAAAGTTGAATGACAATATATAATTGAATATAGTGAAGTTCTTAGTTTCAATTTAAACATAAATTAATCAAAAAATGAAAAAAGTAATGTTTTTTTCATACAATGAAGAGTCATCACCTTCTTCTAACCATTTATTCAGCTATTACATGTCACATGTTTTAAGTTTTGTTAGGGACTAAAAGTAGGTCTATGTTTAGGGCTACTTTTAAGGAAAGCTTCCATAGGCAGTTGCACAACACAGTAGATTTGCTATTTAAGAAGGACATTCATCCCTTAACAAATGTTTATCATTTGGGAGGAAATGGGGAAAGGAGAGAAGGGGAGAAGGTGGCACTCACCTCCTTCAACAACTTATCCAAAAGAAATTTTTGCTGAGTAATATTTTCCAACTGATCCAGAACGCGAGAGTTTTCTTCTTCCAAATACTCGACCCGCGTCTGCAAGACAGACACCATCCGTGTCTTGTCCTTCAGTCTCTCCTCCATCTCTGACAACCTGAAACACATCCCATGGGGAGCTGAAACAAAGGGACAGAAGTAGGGGCTGAAACAAAGGGAGAGAAGTAGATGGTGAAACAAAGGGACAGAAGTAGGGGCTGAAACAAAGGGACAGAAGTAGGGGCTGAAATAAAGGGAGAGAAGTAGGGGCTGAAATAAAGGGAGAGAAGTAGGGGCTGAAACAAAGGGACAGAAGTAGGGGCTGAAATAAAGGGACAGAAGTAGGGGCTGAAACAAAGGGACAGAAGTAGGGGCTGAAATAAAGGGAGAGAAGTAGGGGCTGAAATAAAGGGAGAGAAGTAGGGGCTGAAATAAAGGGAGAGAAGTAGGGGCTGAAATAAAGGGAGAGAAGTAGGGGCTGAAATAAAGGGAGAGAAGTAGGGGCTGAACTAAAGGGAGAGAAGTAGAGGCTGAAATAAAGGGAGAGAAGTAGGGACTGAAATAAAGGGAGAGAAAGGGCTGAAATGAAGGTAGAGAAGTAGGGGCTGAAACAAATGGACAGAAGTAGGGGCTGAAATAAAGGGAGAGAAGTAGGGGCTGAAATAAAGGGAGAGAAGTAGGGGCTGAAATAAAGGGAGAGAAGTAGGGGCTGAAATAAAGGGAGAGAAGTAGAGGCTGAACTAAAGGGAGAGAAAGGGCTGAAATAAAGGGAGAGAAGTAGGGGCTGAAATAAAGGGAGAGAAGTAGGGGCTGAAATAAAGGGAGAGAAGTAGGGTCTGAAATAAAGGGAGAGAAGTAGAGGCTGAACTAAAGGGAGAGAAAGGGCTGAAATAAAGGGAGAGAAGTAGGGGCTGAAATAAAGGGAGAGAAAGGGCTGAAATAAAGGGAGAGAAGTAGGGGCTGAAATAAAGGGAGAGAAAGTGCTGAAATAAATGGAGAGAAGTAGGGGCTGAAATAAAGGGAGAGAAGTAGGGGCTGAAATAAAGTTAGACAAAGGGAGGGAAGTAGAGGCTGAACTAAAGGGACAGAAGTAGGGGCTGAAATAAAGGGAGAGAAGTAGGGGCTGAAATAAAGTTAGACAAAGGGAGGGAAGTAGAGACTGAACTAAAGGGACAGAAGTAGGGTCTGAAATAAAGGGAGAGAAGTAGGGGCTGAAATAAAGGGAGAGAAGTAGAGGCTGAACTAAAGGGAGAGAAGGGGCTCAAATAAAGGGAGAGAAGTAGATGGTGAGACAAAGGGAGAGAAGTAGAGGCTGAAATAAAGGGAGAGAAGTAGGGGATGAAATAAAGGGAGAGAAGTAAAGGTTGAGTCAAAAGGAGAGAAGTAGTGACAGAAGAAAAATTGAATTGAAAGGACAAGAGGCAACAGAAAGTGTACCATGATTTTTTCCCCCCATAAATTATAAAGAGCAATTCTGGAGCAAGCAGGAAGAAAAATTATGTCACCCCTAGATAAACCCATATATGATAGTATTTTTTTTATTTTTAAAAATTTCTCTCTTTTAAACAATGATTATGCTTTCTAAAGTTTCAAATTGAAGTTGCTTATATTTTACAAGTTACATTACACATGTTTTAGCCCAAAAAAACAAACCCAACTAAATAATAACTTCATACTATTCTACATCTTAAGTTCATTTTTGCCCTACAACTACCACAAGTAGTCCTACTACAGCAATACACTCAGCTATAAACTGTCTAATTTGCTATATCTTCATAAGGACTAATCATACACAGATTGTGAGTTGTCTCTAGAGAGTTGATAACTAAAATATATCCCACTATTTACACAACAACAAGTTTAAATAAAAGCTTTTACTATTGAAACACTTAAGCTTTAGATACACAATACATTTCTTTAATTTATACACATTATTGCTGTTATATTATCTGGAATGTAACTTACAATATAAAGAAAATAAATGGCAAATTAACATGTAATGTAAAAATAAAACATCACATGTTCTCTGACTGTAAAAACATTTTAGGAAAATTATCACAAAGTTAGTGCAAAAGACCTCTGCCTGTAAATCCCAGGTGGTAAATATTTTCAATCTTGCAGAAATTATATTTGATGCTTGTAAAGAAAACATAAAAAAGTAATAGACTTAACTACGAGTGTTGATTTTATTAAAGAAGGTGTTACTTTGTCTAGTCAGCTGTGTAAATTTAGGATGAAAAAAATTGTGCTTAAACAACAGGTGCAGGATAATGCAAAGAATGCTAAAAACAATATAAGTCTAAAAATGAAACAATGGACTCAGTGTTAGAGTTAAAATAAATACGAATATGCTTATTTCAATTTTTTTTTCTATCTTCATTATATAATTTTGTTTACACTTATATCATTACAGTTTTAACAGTAAAAAATAATTCTAGTGCAGCACTGTAATGACAACATAAACCTTCTGTTTCACAGGTGGGTTTTTTTATATTGCAAAAAAATTAGTTTTTAAGTAAAATACTAATGGGATGACATGGTGTAAACGGTAGAGCGCAAGTTTGCTAACCAGAAAGTCTCAAGTTCGAATCCGGGGTCCAAGTCAGTAGAATGTCCCTGAGTCCACTCAGTTCTGATGAGCACCTAACACATGTTAGGGAACGTAAAGGCGGCTAGGCAAAGTGATGACTATACCTTCCCTTCCGAGGTCAAGAAACATATGAACTCTACTTCATCTGCTCAATGGATCACTAGGTCTAAAGAGGATTTCTTACTTTATACTAATGTAATTAGGTCTTAATTAGGACTTATAGAGTCTTAAGACAATATGAGTACATAAACTAGCAGGTTAACTATCCAAGTCTTCTGATTGGGAATAATTATTGCTATTATACTTAGTAGTCTCAAGTAATACAAAAATGTAAAGAAAGAGTTAATATATAGTGGAAATATTTCATGTTTGCAGTTTTTTAAATAATTTTTTACTCCAACTTTTATGATGTAAGAAGCAGTGATATGGGACTACATGATCAACAAATTAAATGATTCTACAAAGGAAGAGTAACATGTGACCTTGATCCTCCTATAAAACGTATTTAAAACACCATAAACTGTGTTTATACTTAACATAATTAGTTAAGGATAATTGCAACTATGAAAGTAAAGCTTCAATGATTAAAAGAAAAATTGTAATGAAATAAAGCTTAGTGAATTTTGAGGTTTCTACTTCACAAAAATCCAAAACACAGCAGCAGGAAAATGCTCCATATCACCAAGGCAACACACAGGGAGAGAATTAAAAGCTGAAGCGTAAAATCTACGGTGTCTTACCTTAGGAGGAGATTCTCATAGAAATGAGAAATATGGAACACAGAAGATATGAGGGATTGGAATAAAATAAAAAACATAATTGTTATGACTTTAATAAAAAAAATAGGTGAAGAGAATTTTTTTAATTTTAAAACATTCTCATTTCTTATACAGTGCAAATGTGTAGTTTACTATGAGTGTTAATTGATTAAAATACAGACATTATAAAGCAGTGTGTTCCAAACGAATTCACAATTTTATAACAGCATCTCCCTTAAAAAAAACTAGACTGACAATGTTTCTTTTTTCTCTTAACTTTGACCTGAAGCTAAACCTAAACCACAACTCTAAACCTATCCTAAACCTAACCCTACCTTTAACCCTAGCCCTATTGTTAACCCTTACCACAATCCTAGCCCTAACCGTAACTTTAACACTTACCATAAACCTAATCTTAACCCTAAACCTAATACTGTTTATAATTGTTACTATTGAATAAATTGTTATTTCATAAATGTGAACTGACAATATTTCAATCACAATAAAAGATAATTTAATATAAAGCCTACAAATTTTTGCTTATCTTTTAAAGTTTTACAAAGACTTATGTTAGTAACGAAAATTAATTTTAAAAAACTTAATCAAATAGAGTATGTCAAATACGTACTGAGTGATTAGCTCCCTTTTTTCTCGCACCATCTGCTTGTAGTTGACGTCCATTCTTTCTTTCCACTCCAACTCTTTGCTCAATGTGGCTTGGGTCAGTCGGAGGTCATCGTCCAGGTGTTTCATGGCTTCCTGGTATTTACTCCTTTCATTGGTGTAGAACTCTCTGGAAACATTTCAAAAGCTTATTATATTTACTTAATAGGATGGAGTGGTTCGATGGTAGAGCATATGACTGCTACTTTAAAGACTCAAGTTTGAATCCAGGTTCAAGTGCGTAGAACGTCACAGAGTCCACCCAGCTCTTATGGGTACCTAACTCATGATAGGGTAAGTAAAGGCAGCTGGGCATAGTGCTGACCACACTATCCTTTCATATGCCGAGGTCACAGAAACAGTTGAACTCTACTTTACTTGCACCATAGATCGTCAAGTTTGAAAAGGAACTTTATAGTTACTCAGCATCTTACATAAAGTATTATACATCTCTTAGCCATAACAGAGAAAGGAAGCACATTAAAACCTTGCTTATTTGGAATTCATATTTAGCATCTTTATTAGTTTGCTGTTTGTGTTATATAAAAAAAAAGTGTAGAAAAAATTGTGTTAAGTGCAGAAGAATTTCTTGCTGCACAGGAAATTAGTGGTCACTTACTGATCAGCTACTGACAAATTACTGGTCAATTATTGACCAGTTACTGAAAAACTATTGACCAAACACTGACCAACTCCTGGCCACTAGTGGCCAACTCCTTAACAATTATTGACCAAAAACTGGTCAACTATTGACCAATTGCTGACCAACAACTGAACAAACACAGACTAAATACTGACCAACTACTGACTAAACCCTGACCAAACCCTGACACTGCCACTAACACAGCTACTAACCTGGCTTTAATGAGCTTAGATTTGGTCCTGAGCTTCCTCTCCTCATACTTCTTCATGTCCACACCAAACCCTGACCAAACCCTGACCAAACCCTGACTTAACCTTGACAAAACCCTGACATTGCCACTACTACAGCTACTAACCTGGCTTTAATGAGCTTAGATTTGGTCCTGAGCTTCCTCTCCTCATACTTCTTCATGTCCACATCCCTCCTCTCACTGACACTGTACAGCTCATACTGCAGGTCCTTCACCTCCTGCTGTAGCTTGGCTATCTGCTCCATCAGTGACCTCTGACCTCCCTCAGACTTATGCTGAGCCTGTCACCAAAACATTACACAGGCTAGTTACATCTTGTTACATTACACACATTACACAGGCCAGTTACAAATTAATGCCATTACACAGGGTAGTTGCATCTAATACAGGGGTCGGCAACCTTTTGAGACAGAAGAGCCAAAAGCTACAATCTACAAAATTTCCAAATTTTAATGAGCCACACTAACATTTTTACGCTCTACTTCACCTATTCTCATTTTTTAAATTTTTTTTAAAGTTGTTTTTGTTTTTACAGTATAATATTTTTATTTAGTTTTGAAAAAATAATATAAGTATTATGGACCTGATGAGAAGCAGATTGCAGAACGCTGATCTAATAACATTACCAAGGGAAGTTTTATTTATGTCTCAAGAATGTAACAGGTCACATGAGAGTCAGTAAATTATAACGAATTATGAAGTAATTTCACTTTCAGTTGTCTACCAATTCCTGATGTACAGAAACTAGCAGTTTTCTATTTTAACTAGAGATAAATTATAATTCTAAAATAAATTAATATAAAGATTTGACACATAGTGATACAATTATTTAAATATTCATGCTTAGTGATGCTATAAATTATTGCTATTTTATTATTATTGAATTTCTAAGTATTATTAACAATAACTAGAAAACAAAGTTCTAGGTTGTCTCCCTTAGTGTAATTAAATGTATAAATAGGATAAGGCACATATTAATTTTAAATATTAAACAACAGATTTGAAAAGTTGGTTCCAAGTGGTTCCAAATTTTTGTTGCCAGAAAGCATATTCTTCAACCAAAATTGAATATTTTTTAACATTTGTGTAATTAGTACAAAATTACTAGTACATTTAATTATACTAGTATAAAAATTTAGAAAACACTTTCATTTTTAATTTGGATTAGTAGAGTCAGGGTGTTGTGGTGATTGGTGATGTTATATTCCGTTTGACATTTCAAGGAGAGGTTGAGGGCAGTTTTTGAAAATATTTGAATTGATAAAATAATTCTAAACTGCTTTTGAACGGCTTATGTTCGATACAAAAATATAAAAATGAGTGTAATTGATGGTTCCCAAACAACTTTAATTTTTACAAATGTAACTATAATTTTATCATTTGCCATAAGTTTAAAAGTTTTTTTCAAAAATTCAGTATAATTACCTAAGCTTTTCATGCCTATTCGAAATATTTATAACATTTTTAAATAATATGATCAATATATTTTAAAGTATTATTTAATGGTTTGCAAATATGTATACAATCTTTAATAAGAACATACAATTTGTTGTTTTTTATTTTAGCATGAATGATCTAGTCATTTGAATTTCACATGAACTTACAACAGAAAAAAATAATTATGCATAAATATGATGTAGCATCATATTTGCATCTGTACTAGTATCTTTTTAGTTTAATGATCACGTCCTTATGTTTAAAATTCAAATAAATCACTTAAGGGAATATGCTAGTTGTTTTTTTCTATTTTGTCAAATTTAAGATCTAAAGCTTTTAGAGTACTTTTACCGTGTTTGGCACATGAAAGTAAGTATTAAACAGCAAAAACGGGTCTAAAAAATATTTCAGTTGTCATAAAAACCGGAAAAAACATCTGCCATTTCAAAATTTTCAGTACTTTTTAAAAAGCTACAGCTTTACTATAACAGACTCACTCATGAGTATATCTGTAAATTCACAGTTAAGCTCCCTACTGAGTTTATAGCTAAGCTCCCTACTGAGTTCACAGTTAAGCTCCCTAATGAGTTTATAGCTAAGCTCCCTACTGAGTTCACAGTTAAGCTCCCTAATGAGTTTATAGCTAAGCTCCCTACTGAGTTCACAGTTAAGCTCCCTACTGAGTTTATAGCTAAGCTCACTACTGAGTTCACAGTTAAGCTCCCTACTGAGTTTATAGCTAAGCTCCCTACTGAGTTCACAGTTAAGCTCCCTACTGAGTTTATAGCTAAGCTCCCTACTGAGTTCACAGTTAAGCTCCCTACTGAGTTTATAGCTAAGCTCCCTACTGAGTTCACAGTTAAGCTCCCTACTGAGTTTATAGCTAAGCTCCCTACTGAGTTCACAGTTTAGTTCCCAACTGAGTTCACTGTTAAGCTCCCTCCAAATTTCAACAAAGACCCACTCACAGAAGAAACGTTCTGTACACGGGAGAGCTGAGACTCGAGGTCAAGGACAGTGTGCTGGAGCTTGGCCTCCCTCTGCTTTAGGAGGACAACCTGGTGCTTGAGCTCACTGACTGTCTGGTCAAGCAGGGTCCTGATGGGGGGAGGGGGGATAAGATTTGAGAGAAGGATAAGTTTCAGCCTGGTTGAAAGGTAGAGCTTTCAAAATAGTTTACTAAATAGTAGAAAACATCTAGCAGTTTAAAATAGTTTACTAAATAGTATAAGTATCAGCAGTTCAAAATCGTTTATTAAATAGTATAAGTATTAGCAGTTCAAAATAGTTTACTAAATAGTATAAGTATCAGCAGTACAAAATAGTTTACTAAATAGTATAAAGTATCAGCAGTTCAAAATAGTTTACTAAATAGTATAAAGTATCAGCAGTTCAAAATGGTTTACTAAATAGTGTAAAGTATCAGCAGTTCAAAATAGTTTACTAAATAGTGTAAAGTATCAGCAGTACAAAATAGTTTACTAAATAGTATAAAGTATCAGCAGTTCAAAATAGTTTACTAAATAGTATAAGTATCAGCAGTTCAAAATAGTTTACTAAATAGTATAAAGTATCAGCAGTTCAAAATGGTTTATTAAATAGTATAAGTATCAGCAGTTTAAAATAGTTTACTAAATAGTATAAGTATCAGCAGTTCAAAATAGTTACTAAATAGTATAAGTATCAGCAGTTCAAAATAGTTTACTAAATAGTATAAACTATAGGCAGTTCAAAAGAGTTTACTAAATAGTTTAAAATTGTTTATTAAAAGTATAAAGAATCATAAGTTTGAACATGATTACAAAATTGTATAAAGCATCAGCAATTTAAAATTGTTTACTTAATAATGTAAAGAATCAGCAGTTTAAAATTGTTAACAAAATGGTATAAAGCATTAGCAGTTTAAAATGGTTTACTATACAGTATAAAACACCCAGCAGTCTAAAATTGTTTACCTCTGTAGTTTCTCCCTTTCCAGCTGGTGTTTGGTGGTAACTAATCTATCTTGTGTATCCTCGAACCCAGATTGTCCAGCCTCTGCTGTTGACAGCTGTTTTTCTAAGTAAATCATCTTCTGTGTGGCAGCCTCTAGTTCCCTTTGTAGATCCTTTACCTAATGTAAACAGAGCACTGATTAACCATAATAATAAACACAAATTCTACATATAGTATCCTTTATTAAATAGCTTTTGGAAGTTGTTTATAAATGTATAAGTTTATAAGTAGATGAAAAAGTCATAATTTTATTATAGCTTCCAACTTATTTCATGTGAACTTTTTATTTACATAAGACATAGATTACATAAAATGTGCCTGTTAGCTGCTAAATAGCCAACTTCCTATCATATATGGTTTAATTGTGGAAATATCAAATGAATTATGTACATTCAATACTAGTGTTTTGTTGGCAAACATTTAATGTGTGGCTATGTGATTAATATTCTTTACTGGTAAGTAGATACAGCTGTTTACTTAAACATTTGGTTCATTCATGTTGTACCTTCAATAACAAATAGTACTTCTAAAAATGATTGGCTTCACAATGCTTCAAATCTGATACAGACCCACTATCCTTAACCTAGCCTATCATGTGTTGTAAGCCTAACAAGTTAAAAGAGTAAATAGCAGTATGATTTTGAGGCTACAGCTAAATTCTGTTAATGTGTTTAACCTTTGTTAGATCATTCAGAGAGCCATGCAAGAGAACAAATATTATCAATGTTATATAAAATCAAACTTATTCAATCATATCAGAACAGAATATAACAATTCAACACACGTTTTATTATTAGTTTGGGAATCAAAATATACAATTACACTTTTAATTTTAAAAACCATATTACAACCAAAATTGTATTAAGGAACTATGACCAAAAAAAGTCAACAATTTTAAATACTTCAACAATAAACAAAACATAAAGAGCTACACCCTATACTTGACCTTATGATTTCTTAATTGTCACAACAGAAAAAATTTAGATTTTTTAATACAAAACAAAACATGTCTAAAGCCACAAATGTTAAAAAAACAACCACTTCAGTTTGAAACTTACAAGTCCAAAAGTATTCTAGATCAGAAAAATAGATAACAATCTCAGCAAGATAAAAGCATGAGTCGATTTTATTTTGAATTTTAATTTTTTGGAGCATATACCATCATCTTTTACCTTTTATACCAAAGACATGGGGCAGATTTAGTAGAGTTTATCTGTTTCAATGACCTGGGTATACAAGTGGATAATGTGGTCTGCACTATGCCCACCCGCCTTTGTTTCCCTAACGTGAATTAGGTACCCATTAGGAACATTCTACTGATTTGAACCCAGATTTGAACTCGAGACTTTAGGTTAGCATTGTAGCTCTCTACTGCATATGCAATAGTTTCAATTAACTAAAACAATTCTATTCTTTCATTATTTATTACCATGTTGTGAAGCTAGTTTGTATGTGCTGGCTGCAGAGTTGGTAGAACACAAGAGGTTTGAAGACAGAACAAAGAGTTAAAAGTACATGGTGATGACAAGAAAATGTACAAGAATGTATGAAGTGTAGAAACTGTTAATAGGGCCTACATCTTTAGTAACACATGCTGAGAAACAGTTTTATTCATTTTATAATTTTGATTTAACCCTTTAGCTGTGGTAGGTGGTTCTAACATCAAGCGCATGAAATAACAAAATGTGTACACTTATTGATTTGACATTTTGTAGGTAATGTTTGAGTATAAGTCAACCTGTCAAATATAGGCACTTTGAATTATTCAATTTAAGTACATATCATCAGCAGTGTCAGGGAATTGTAGGCCAAAAGTAATATAAATTCAAGAAAATCTTATCCCTTTTTTCTTCAGCAAAATAAAATAAAATAAAAATAATTATAGCTGCAGATCACGATGTATAAAATGCCAAGAATGTTCACTACACAGCTGCCGTCATGGCAACACTAACTCACCAACTATTTATGGAATTTTTTTCATATTGGCTACAGCGTAAGTGTTAACAGCTTTATATGTAAAGAGAAAAATTTCAAATATCTCTCCTTCTAAAAATTTCTGCAGTACTTTTTAGTGCTAAGAATCATTTTTTTAACATTGCATGTTTCATCTACCAACACATTTGCATATCAGTTGCCACTAGAATTTGTCACAAAAGGAGATCTTTTATATAGACTAGAAAATGAACTAAAATGAACTATAAAAAACAGTGATTATAAAATATATCTCTGAATCAAATCCTAAAACCTATTTTTTATCTTCTATCAACTAGTGATGTCTAGTAAATTAAAAAAATAACCAACATTTAATAAAATTTGAAAACAATGTAATTATTTCTTACCTTCCGTTCTGAAGCTTCGGCCCTAGCTACAATAGCTTTAGTTGATACTTCATATGTGGTTTCTTTTTGAGACAGGCTGCTTTCATATTGACGTATGGTGGCCAGGTGCTGTGGGTAGGGTTAGTCATTAACAGTTTAATAAAACAGAAAATGATCAGAGAAAAGCTATTTCCCTTTATTTTTTAAAACCAGCTGTAATTCATTAGATCAATCTGTCTATACATAAATACTCTTGGTGAGAAACAATCTAAAATCTAGAACCATTATTACTGTTAAGACAAATTACATAGAATCTATGGACTACACAGATGTACTGGTCCATTGCCTGGAAAAAAAATATATCTACATGGCAACTATATTATGTACATTTCAGAAGTGTTTAACTTCATGGATTACCTCCCTTCATTAATCTGATAAAAAAAATTGAATTATGAGGTATTAATTTATGAGGTATTTAAACACATTTGATCACGCAGTAGCCAGTAAAAAAAAAAATCAAGTATATGGTTTTTACCTTGATGATTTCTTGTTCCTGTGAATGATTGGCTGATTCTAAACTTGTATTTTTCTCCATTAGACTTCGAACTTGACTCCATGACTGATGAATTATTCAACAAAAGAGCATTGTTACAATCTTTCTAAAGCAACATTTAAAAAAAATATTTTTATTAATTCATTTTTCTCACTTTATTACATTTTTAAAGTCATTATTCTATTTTATCTCCTTATAAACTTAATGTTGAATTAGATATTATTTCTAAAACATAAGATTTAATTTCAGTTTTGCTTGTTTTAAATATTCTAAGACAGACTAAGAAGGTAAAATCTTTACCTTAGTCAGCTCGCTATCTATCACACGATTTCTACTGGTCACCTCCTGTTTCTGTTTGATCTCCACCTGAAGATGTTTTTCTAATTTTTCATTCTGGGACTGGATTAAGGACACTTCATTCTTCAGCTGGGTCAGTTCCTGTTGGCACCAGCACAGAAAGGGAATTAAAGATTTTTTTTTTAAATTATAGAGCTAGACAATTTAGCAAAAAGCTATTTAAACTCTCAATATGACAAAAAATAGAATTTTTTTCTACATTAAAAAAATTATTTTAAATTTTAAGTTTGATTGGTTATTTTAAGAAAATATTCATTACCTCTTCTATTCCTAGTTTTTGTAATTTCAAATCCCTAATTTCTGAAGTTGATGCTTCTAGTCTGTCATGAGCTATGTCTAACTCATATCTATGTCTTTGTTTTAACTCTTTGTAGTCTTGCTCCAAGCGAGCAATGGTGCTTTCATGTTTGGCCTGGGGAATAAGTATTTTAGTTCAACATTTTTGTAGTAGTTTGATGAGCTTTGATCGATGGTGTGGTGGAATGGTAGAGCATATGGCTGCTAACCCAAAAGTCTCAAGTTCAAATCCCCAGGTTCATATTAGTAAAACATCCCACAGTCCATGCAGGTCTGATGGTTACCTGAGTACAACATTAGGGAAAGTAAAGGTGGCTGGGCATGGTGCTGACCACACTATTCTATTCATATGCAGAGGTCACTAAAACAGGTGAACTCTACTTCACCTGTTATATTGACCATCAGGTTCGAAATGAACTTTCACTTAATGAGATTTATTACTTGATGTTTTGTTCCTGCAAAGTCCAGTAAGGACAGAAAAATGCTAGAAATCTATTCAGAAAGGAAAAATTCTAGAGTAGTTCTATAGCCTTAAAGTGTGATACACAACTTACAGAGAGTCCCAAGCTATCTGACTCAACTTTGAAGACTTTGGTTTGGCTTTTCTGAACCTCTTCTCTCAACTGTCGTATATGGCTGTTGGCTGCAGCAATATCTTGTTCTAGCTGATCAGTGTAGCGCCTGTTCTGCTGATACTTGTCTGATGACAAGAAAAATATTTTTAGAAACGTGAAAACATACAACTGCTGAATAATGAATGTAATCCTTTATACTTATAAAGTTGATAAAATTGCGCTGAATTTTCAGCTTTTGTTTAATTGAAGTAAATGTAATATGAGCTGATATGTAAGCTAGATACAATAGAAATTGAATTTCTTTATCTCTTATTGGCCATAGAAATGAGATTTCCAGGCATCTCAGTTCTGCTAGTGTCTACAACCACCCACAAAATTCCATCTTTCTGGTGTACCCACAGTCCTTTTTTAGGTAATTTCACTCTAAACCATTGTATTTCAATCTATGAATTGCAGAAAGTGATCAGCATTATGTGTAGGAGTGAATGGTTTTCATAGTCTGATGAGTTCTAAATAAACCTCCACTGTAGACAGTTTTGTATTGACTGCAATATTTCACCTCTTTCACCTGTCTACTTACCTGAGTTTCTCATCTTCTCCCTGCCAAGAAATTCCTCAAGCCCTTCACTTTTAGCCACAGCTGCAGACAGCTGTAAAACAAATGATTATTAATGAATTAATTAATGTATAAGAATATAAAAATAAGGCATGTTTAACTTAAAACTAATTTTAAATGCTTTTCTATCAGACTCAAAACAATGTGAGCAAAAAAAAATTTTTAATTTTAACATAGCAATGTTGAAGATGCTAGACTGTTAACCAGAAAGTATAGAGTTTGGATCTCAGTCTGTAGGATGTACCTGAGTCCATCCAGCTCTGATGGGTACATGACTCTCGTTAGGGAAACAAAGGTAGCTGGGTATAGTGCTGACCACATTATCCCTTTGTGTGCTAAGGTCTATTGAAACATGAATTCTCTTCATCTGCTCCATGTGTATTGGGCACGAATGGAAAAAGATGATGATTTAAATTAGATGTTTAGAACAGAATCATAGAAGTCTCAAAGTTCCAGTACCTTGCGTGCCAGCTCCCTGTTGTCCAACTCCAGCTGCTCAGCCAAGTTTTCCAAGGTTGTGATCCTATCAATGTGCTGCTGGCGCTCCTTCTCAAAGAACGGCTGGGTGCTGAGGTTTTCCTGCTGGGCGTCACTGATAGAGTCCAGCTCCTTCTGCAGGTAGTCCCTGTCCCTGGCCAGGGATTCCAACTTTGTCAGTTTGTTTTTCAGCTGGTTCTGTGTAAACTCTAAGGTGCCTGGTGAATGGAGACAAAAATAGTATCAAACAGGGAGATAACTCTAAGGTGCCCGGTGAACAGAGAATAAAATATTCTCAAACAGGGAGATAACTCTTAGAATAGAAAAATATAGTGAAGGAGCTATGGATTCCATACAGAAAAATTTAAACATATTCAATGAATCATTTAGTTGTTAAGTAAGACTTTTGCTACATAAAACAGCTACTATCTAAGACAGCTATTGTGTCAGATATATAAGATTTTGCTATGTAAGATTTTTAAGCTAACTGTAATTATCTTTAACTAAGATAATTGTTTATATGCTAGTGGTATAATAATGTGATTCTAATACATCTTTGGGAATTAACAGATCCTGATGTTTTTTTTTTTTTTACCAACATGAGATAAATCTAATCATAAATAACAAAAATTTAACAATTTGGTTTTTAAAATAATTTTTATGTGAGTTAGGCCTGAGATACTTACAAAATATATTTGAAATGTATAAAAACATAAATTAAAAAAATTAAATTAAATAAACAAATCTGTTGCATTAGTTGTAGAAGATACCAATAAATTAAGCTGATTAAAGTTTCCCTTTCAAACACTATGGTCTATGGGGCAAGTGAAGTAGAGTTGTTTCTGTGACCCCGGCATATGAAGAAACAATGTGGTCAGCACTATGCCCAGCTGCCATTGTCTTCCCCAACGTGAGTTAGGTACGCATCAGAGTTAGGTGGACTCAGGGACGGTCTACTGACTTGAACCCGGATTTGAACTCGAGACCTATGGGTTAGCAGTCCAGCCCTATACCGCTAGATCACTCTGTCCCATAAATTAAGCTGATTATTACAGATAAATAATTATTATAAGGTATTTATGTAAGGTAGCTGTAATGTAAGCCTTATTAAAGACAACTGTTATGTCAGCTGTTACCAATGGCAGATGTAATGTAATGTTATGTAAGACAGCTGTAATGTAAGCTGCTATGTAAGACATCTATAATATATGCTGTTATGGAAGACAGCTGTTATCAATGACAGCTGCCATGTAAGCCATTATGTGAGACAGCTGTGATAAACAGCTGTCCTGTAAGCTGTTGTACCTTGTGTTTCCGCCAATTCTCTCCTCAGTGCCCTAGCCTCACTTTCAGATTTCTCCAACAGCTGATTGGCCCTGTCCACTGAGTTCTGCAACAGGCTCAGCTCCTGCCTGGTGAGGAAAAAAAAGATTTGAATATTTTACCTGTCATTGCCCCCAATCAGTTGCTGTGTCCACAGTGACTGTTAAATATAGTATTTTAGGGGCCAATGATTTTTGCACCTATGTGAGTAAAATATTAAGTAAAATGCTTTATAATTAGACATCATTAGAGTTTTAAAACATCAACAGGCTTAGCATTGTGAAGATGACATTTTTAGGGTTTTAAGACATTGAAAAAATAGTAAACTTCCCCACTTTGGACCTCAAGATCCCTAGGTCAAATACAGTAGAGTTCCTTTGTTTCTAGACATTGTATATAAAAGGATGATGTGGTCAGTAGTATGCCAAGCCAATTTAGCCAACTCAGGAACCATCATAGCTGGGTGGACTCAGGGATGTCCTACAAACTTACGTCCAAGATCTGAACTAGACACTCAGGTTAGAAATCAAATGCTCTACCACCAAACCAAACACTTTTGCCTAATCTAACATTCAGGGACCCGACATAGCTGGGTGGACTCAGGGATGTCCTACAGAATTACATCCAAGTTCTGAACTAGACACTCAGGTTAGCAATCAAATGCTCTACCACCAAACCAAACACTTTTGCCTAATCTAACATTCAGGGACCCGACATAGCTGGGTGGACTCAGGGATGTCCTACAGACTTACATCCAAGTTCTGAACTAGACACTCAGGTTAGCAATCAAATGCTCTACCACCAAACCAAACCGTCCCACCTTAAGACATCAGCAAGCTGGGATGTACAAGATAAAATCTAAGTCAAAGAGCCTTGAGATTAAGCAACCTGCAGGATTCCAGATCTATCTTTGTTGTCTCCAGCTCCTCCTGTGCTTGAAACAGGTTGGTCTTAGTGGTGTTGATCTCGTTCATCAGACCATGGACGGAAGGGGTTATGGGGGCGCCATCTAGTGAGTCTGTGTCCTAGGTGAACAAAATACATTTCAGGTTATAGCTGATGGGGGAATGGGGGAATTTGGTTGAGTGGTAGAGTGTATTAGAGCCCTTAATATGAAAATGTTAAAAAAAAATTTCTTTTTGTAAAGCAATCTGTTGAGTGAGACAAGCCCGTCTGGATATTTGGCATAGGGGTGGCAGCAAATTTACCCCCACCCAGTCCCCCCTACCCCCAAATGGTAATAACCTCCACCACTTGAGAATATCTGTTATACATGATAATAGGTGAGTCAGGGTAATTAGTTAACTATGCTGTTCCCTATCCAAGCAATACCCTTTCATGTCAGGACCAAAGAAAATGGTGAACTTCACAATATTTTCCTGTGTGAGGTAGTTTTATGCTAAAAGATTATTTTTTTATCAGTATAAAAATTCTAGAAATTAGTAAAATAGACAAATTAGGCTTATTGTAAAGCTACCAAAAAATTCACTCACAAAAAATGCTATAGAGCTTTGTTAGCCAATGGCTCACAATAATTTTTACTTTTCGAAAAACCAAAACCATACTGAAACTAATGACCATTCTAAAATTACTAAATCAATATAGGCCTTAAAATGTATACATTAAAAACATAACCACCTATAACAGCCAATATGAAAGAAGTTTAACATTTACCATTAAGCAGTTGTATAGTAAATCAGGGATCAAGAAATGACCAAATTAAAAATGTGGTCACCATGGGAAGCATTCTTCTCCTCATTAAGGGGTAAAATACAACTAGACTGCTCTACTAAGTTATTTCTATAGTGAGGGTAAAGGTCACAATTATGGGGACTGGGCTAGTTACCTCTTTTTTAGAATGGTCACTGGACCCAAGGGATACATATGTCTGCCGGGAATGGTGAACCTGCTGAGTTATCAGTTCAGCTCTGGCTACTTCTGCTTCTTTCACAACCTGGCAACAACATGTCAACTGTTTAAAAAACCTGGCAACAACATGTCAACTGTTTAAAAAACCTGGCAACAACATATCAACTGTTTAAAAACCTGGCAACAACATGTCAACTGTTTAAAAACCTGGCAACAACATGTCAACTGTTTAAAAAACCTGGCAACAACATGTCAACTGTTTAAAAACCTGGTAACATTTATTTTAGCAGCAGCATAAAAAAATGGCACATTTAAGTTTGGCAATACCTAACCATTTAAAAAGCTAATGGTTCTAGTAACACTGGAATTAAGCCAACATGTAATCCTAATCCTAAATATTTTAAAATGAACAAACTTGGGGTAAAAGAGACATTATTCATTATATCAGGTATAAGAATATGTTTATTAAGATCCTAAATTAGTTTTCCACTAATTATTTGAAAACATTTGTGTAATCAATGACTACAAAAACATTTGAAAATCAATGTGACTAGACGCCATAATTCACACTTTAAAAACAATAAAATTCTATTCAAATTGTGTACTCTGTCACTTATAGATGACTATCACATTTTTGAAAATGTGCCAATCTTAGCAAACATTAAATTCCAATAAAAGTACCTCATTATGTTTGTCTTGCAGAGCTTGGTACTCATCCTGGGCAGTAAACAGATCATCTTGTAGCACCTGGACTCTTTTCTCTAAAGACTTAATCTGTGGAACATGAGATAACTTTAAAAACAAAGAACATAGACAACTGCTAACAGTACAATCATAATCATCATCTATTCGCCTGTTATTACTATTTAACTTGTCTAGCAACTGCTACCAGTATATAATCATCATCTATTTGCCTGTTATTACTATTTAACATGTCTAGCAACTGCTACCAGTATGTAATTGTCATCTATTGGCCTGTTATTACTATTTATCTTGTCTAGCAACAGCTACCAGTATGTAATTGTCATCTATTGGCCTGTTATTACTATTTATCTTGACTAGCAACTGCTACCAGTATGTAATCGTCATCTATTGGCCTGTTATTACTATTTAACTTGTCTAGCAACAGCTACCAGTATGTAATTGTCATCTATTGGCCTGTTATTACTATTTATCTTGTCTAGCAACAGCTACCAGTATGTAATTGTCATCTATTGGCCTGTTATTACTATTTATCTTGACTAGCAACTGCTACCAGTATGTAATCGTCATCTATAGGCCTGTTATTACTATTTAACTTGTCTAGCAACAGCTACCAGTATGTAATCGTCATCTATTGGCCTGTTATTACTACTTAACTTGTCTAGCAACAGCCAAGCTCACCTTTCCATTCAAGCTGTGCCTCATGTTGTCACTGTCCACCCTCAGGTCATCAAGTGCTTGCTCTAATTCCTTGACCTTCATTTCGCACTCAGCTCTAATTCTTTGTTCTAGCTTCAGCTCTTCCTCAAAGTCTGACGCCTCCTCCATCTCAATGATCTGCCAACACAATTTTAAAACATCAATTTTTTTTCGATTCATTATTTTAAAATGTACTAGTTGAAATAAAATAATAAATTTAAATTGTTTAGAAAGAATGTCAATTTTTTAAAAGAGAAATTGTATTTAACCAAAATTATTAAAAGAATCAACATAATTACATGTAAAAATATGCCTACATCTATTTAAAGAAAAAGAATGGTTAGAATTTTGAAAAATATCCACTTATTTTTAAAATTGATACATTATTAAGTTAAATAATTATCCACCAGTACAGCCAAGATTAACCAGTAACCCTAATGTGAGAAACAAACAACAACACCCAACCTTTTTATTCAATTCTGCAGTTAACGCCCTCTCCTTTTCTAGCTCTTGACAAAGTATCTGCACATCAGCCTCAGATTCTTCAAGAGCTTTGACAGCGACCTTGTGTTTATTCAGCTCTTCTCTCAAGCGAGTTAACTCCTCCGCTGTGTCTTGGTGCAACAATGAAACCTAGAATGGTCATCACAAGTTCATTCACTGATACATTTTTTTTAAATTTATGCACATTAAAATTTTCTATTTACACAAATGATGTTTTACAATGTATGCATAAGAGTAAATTTTTTTTAAAAATATGTCAATTATCTGTCAACCATAGATGATGTTATCCAGGTTTTAGCCTTCTTTTTCCTTGCAACTCTATAGTTACGACACAAAAACCTCCTTTCATATTTGTGCCCCTAATTTCATCCTCCGAACTTCATAAAACGACTACAATTCTAACTAGTCAACATAATTTTCATCATTTGTGTTTGTAAGAAATGCTATATGTATCCTACATCACATTTTCCTAACCATCCCCCTCTCTTTCAAATGTAATACATTGTTTTTAAAGTCTGAGCATCCAACTCATGTAACACATTAATTAAGGACAACACTTAAACACATTCTATAAACAAAGTAAAAAATAATGAAATTATTGACAAAAATTAAGAAAATGTTATATTAACTTTACCTGCAAATCTTTAACATTTTTTTCTAAACTCATCCTCATTTGGCGTTCATTCTGTAACAATTCAGTAGCTGATTCTTTACTAATCTCAACATCTTTAAGATTGTGTTCAAGTTCCTTAACTCGTACTTCAAGCTGTAAACAAAGTTCTCTTTCCTTCTTCAATTCATCTTCAGCCTTCACAAGTTCATCCTTACTAACTTTAGATGCCAAATTCTGTTTTAGCTCATCCATTTGTTTTTCCAGAGATTTTTTTTGCAGAACTTCATTATTCAGCTCTTCATTCAAAACCTTAGATAAAACAAAAAAAAAAATAATGGTTTATGTTTAAATTTGTCAAATTAATTTAAAAAACTAATCCTAGTTATAATTCATCTATTTAGTTGAAATACAAATTCCAGTTACAAAACACTTTTGTAAAATGTAATTGCACGAAATAAAATGTTCTCAATAACCTATTTATTTATTTTTACTCTGTATGATATACATTTCTCTTTAAAAATTGAAACTTCAAATGTTACTAACTGATTAGCAACATCTAATGAATGTTCACACTTCAAACTATTTTTCTTGAATACAGAGGTGCAAGGTTTTTTTATTCAACATTTAGTCCTAAAAATCCATGATGTTGATTCCTTACTTTATATTTCTCATTTAAATTTTGCAGTGAGACAAGCTGTGATTCTAAATTTAATTTTTCTTTCCTTTCTTCTTCATATTTATCAGCAAGAGTTGTCTTCTCTTGAAGACTTAGCTCCAAACGGTTTATTTCTACTTTCATTTTGTTCTTCTCACGCCTTTCCTCCTCCAAAACATTCTGAAAATTTAAATTCGAATCATTATAGAATTAGATACATAGTTATATTCTAAGAAAACAAAAACTATACTTCATCATTCAGAACCAAAAATTTTTAGTTTGGCTTCTGGGCTTAAGTTCTTCTGGCAATCCGTAATCCCACCAACTATGATTGGTACCTGACAGTAAAACCGAAGATGACTGAGCATGGAGTTTACTACAAAATCCAAATAGATGCTGAGTGAGATCCAATAAACACATAAACTCCACTTCATCGGCCTCAATGACTTTTATAATAATTTAATCATTTTACTAACTAACAAAATAAAGATCAATTTAAAAAGTAGAATGTATAGATGGCTTCCAGTATTCTTTATAAAAAAAGGTTTGGAGCAAAAACTGTTTTTTTTTAATACAATTAATTTTTTATGATCACTGTTTAAAATAATCACAATCACATGAAACCTTCTAAACATTGATCTAAAGTTTTTCTAGGTCTAGATTTTGAAATACATGATATATAATATAATATATAACCTATATACATTACCTTGACCTCTGAACTTTGATCTAAAAGTTTCTCTGTGTCTAGCAGGGTCTCTTTTAAATCTGTTTTTTCTCGCTCCAGACTCTCAGAGTACACTTTGCTTCTGGCTAGCTCCTGCAGTGTCAGCTCCAGCTTCTGTCTAAGATCTGCCACCTCGTGGGTCAATCTGAAAGATCACAAGACTTGAAAATTCTGGAAAATTCCATATCACAGCCATAAAACTCAATCGGTTTGCTGAGTTGAAAAATAGTTATAATTTTTTTTAATTTTGTGAAAGAAATGTTTAAGTCGATTTGTTTTTAAACAATTTTGTATGCTTTTAAATAGATTTTGCTCAAGTTCTTTATAAAGCAAACAATTCTTTATTACAAACTTTAAAAAGAATAACTAATTTTGAATATTTTATAGAAGGCGTAAAAGAAAATGTTATTATGAAACTATTAATATAAAAATAGCTTACAATAAATTAAGATTTGCTACAGTTTTTAAAAAAATCGCTTACAATAAATTTAGAATTGCTAATTTTTTTTAAAAACATACAAGGTTTGAAATATTAGCTTTAATGATGAAGAATAGGTGAGAGTCAGACATTTTGTGATACCAATGCATGCTGACTTCTATATTTAAATACAATCAGAAATATGAAACAGTGAATGTCTATATTTTAAACAAAAAAAATTTAAAACTAAAAAACAAGAATTTTAAAACACAAAATCACATTTTAAAAATGCAAAAAGTGAATGTTTAAAAAAAAAATACCTATAACTATAGAACATAAATGTAATTTTTTTTTCATAAATTGAACAAAACTTCTAGCATGATAAAAATTACCTTCAAGTTGAAATTACTTGAAAAAGACAAATAAAACCAGAGCTAAATCTCATACATAAGAAATACATAATTTAAGGGGGGACCGGTACTTAATTTTTATTTTATTAAAGATTAGCAATTGAACATTGTCTACATAGCTAAAACAAAGATATTGATATGTTTTAAAGATAACATATCTCAAACATGTTGAGAACAAATGTTGAACCCCAAAAAGTTGAGTTTATATGTATTTTTATATGCAATTTTGTATGCTAAAAATCTCAGTACGTATAAGACATAATAATACATAAAGTAAAAGCCACATTTAGAAATGGTTACAGAACAAACTGATAGAAGGATGTTAAGATTAAACACAAACTTTTTAAAATATGAATTTTTTTCAAAGTCACTTAGAAAAAAGAGTCTTTGTGGAGAGACATCAACTTTAAACAACCATAAAAATTAAATAAAGAAAGGTAATGTAATTGTTTTAACAGTTGTGCCAACTATAACTAGTTTAAAAATATCACAAATATATAAGCTTACTGGGTGCTCCAGATTAAAAAGCCAAAATTAAAGCATCAAATGAAATTTAAATGAATATTTTCAAATACTTTAAAAACAAATAAGAAAATCTTAAGAAAGATAATAAGTTTTTTTGATTTTGTAGTAATACTCAGGAAAAAAACTGAATTAATGTAAACAAAAAATGTAGCTTACAATAGAAATCTGAATAAAAAAAACTAAACTATAATATAAAGCATAAGATAGAACTTACTCTTCCAAACTTCCATAAAAAAAAGATGCAAATAACAAATACAAGAAATGAGTAACAATATAGTGTTGTATCTACCATTTATTTATTAAACAACCTCAAACACATGTATATTCAACCAATATTTCTTTTATAAAATGATATTTTAATGGACATCGGCTATGATCAAGGCAAGAAGTTCTTCAGAAATCTTAAAAATCACTGTTTTAATAACATTTTAATAGTTTTTCAATTTTTTTCAAAAATAAATAAGATTTGATTTTCAAATGTTGGATTTTGTTGAAATCTCAGAATCATTCAAATGCTAATTCATAACCTATTAAACTTTAGATTTAGTAAGACAGTGTAAATAAACATCATTTAAATTAAATGTTAATTTAGTTTTTTTAATATTATAATCAATTTTGTAAAAGTAGGTTTGAATTGAGTGTAGGTTAAATGCAAGTTAACAGACAAGTAGGGTGAGTTTACTTACTAAAAACATTAATCATACATTTTCACAAAAGAATATTCATATCATTATTACTTCAGTACATGTATATAAGGAAAATGTTAAAACTTATGATAATGCAAGATGCTAAAAGCCACTTGTACCTTTTTTCTGTATCCCCATGATTTCTTTGAAGCAAATGCTGTAAAATAGGTTTAATATTTTCAATCAAATTTTGCTTAATGCTACAACTTAATTTGTTTAAATTTTGCAACATCACTTTATAATTCAGTAATCTCAGTATTTGTGTAATCTTAAAAAAAATAATTTTATATTCATAAACAAACATGCAGTGGAAGAAACATATAATGCAACTTGTAGAAAACTGTATCACGACAATGTAAATATTTTTAAAATTTAAAACTCAATAAAATAAATGATGTGGCTTGATTTATTTTTTTTTGTTTTTTTTTTACTGCAAAAACTAAAGATTCCAAGAATAAATGTTATTTATTTCATTCACATCTTGAAATCAAATAAAATATGCACCTTTTATTTTCATATAAATATAACATATAACATTTCCTATACTTGCCTGGTTGGTAATGAGCAATGTTTCTTTTTCTTTAGACTTGACCAATTCATTCTGTAAAGCTGTGAGCTCACTTTGGATGTTAAAATGTTCTTCCTTTAAGCGGTCAATGTCGAACTGTAACAGTGGGAAAATGAACATTTGTGAGTTCATTCAAAGCTAAAAAATGAGCACATAAAAGTATGTAAGGAATCCACAGTGAGCTGACAGGGTGGATGGTAGAGCAATCAGCTGCTAACCCAAAAGTCTCGAGTTCAGATTGCAGGCTCAAGTCCTTAGCATGTCCCTGAATTTACTTAGCTCTGACTCAAGTTATTGATAAAAAGGGTAGCTGGGCATAGTGCTGACCACACTATCCATTCATATTCTGAGATCATAGAAACAGAAATTTATTTCACCTGTCCATTGTCCTGTAGCATTTAAAAAGTTACTTTACCAAAATTTCTTCCAGGCATCTCTTGGTGCCCCTCCCCCCAAAATAAAGTCTACCATCCCCTGAACGGAATGGAATTTATATAGAAAACATACTTTACCAGTGTCCGCACCCCGAATATATCAAGTGCCCCCCCCCCCCACCCGCCACCACCTCCCAGAGAAAAAGCCTAAATGAAATAATATACTTAAGAGATCCAAAAAAAAATCCATGTTGACAATGATGTTAAGCAATTTTGACTGACCTGCTTTTTGGCTACTTCTTCAACTTGCACCTGGCAATCCTTCTCTTGCTCCTGTAACCGTTGAGTTACCTCGGCAATTTGAGATTTAGCAGACGCCACACTTTCTTGAGCTTTTGCCAGTTTTGTCTCCAATGCCTGATTCTCTGTTTTCAGTTGTGACAGCTGGTATTCCAGTTTCTCGTTTGTCTTTACAAGAACGACATTTTATAACAAAAAGTTTTATCAAACTACTTCTTTAAAGATTTAAAAGATTCATTTTCCAAAACCTGTTAAGTGTTAAAAAAAACAAAAAAAAAGAGCTGCCCTTATCAAATGCCCATAAATTGAGCTCGTAACCAACAAATACATGCAAAATTAAATTATACATAACATGTAAATAACATGAATGCAATAAATTTATAAAGTTTAATTTGATGTTATAGTTTATTTATAACTTAAAAAAAACATTTCAGAGCTTGAAAAATATAATTAAATTTTGGAAAATGACTTGTCAGTTTAAAATTACTTGAAGATCATATCATCTGAAATATTAAAAAAGTATGCTACCTTATTAAGGTCTTCTAATTCATTCTTCAAATTTTTTTCTATCTGTTCTTGTTGAGCTTTGACTGATAAGAGCTTATCCCTTTCCTTGATCAACTCTTCTCTCTCTTTTGTCACTTTGTCTAGCTCATGTTTAACAACTTGCAGCTGATTGGTTAAATCTTGTTCTTCTTTTGTCCATCTCTTTGTCTGATTGGCCAGCTCTTCTTTCTCATTGGCTGTTTGCTCAAGCTTTGTTTTCATGTTCTCCAGTGATGCTGTTAGTTGCTTTTTATCATTGTTCAATATTTCAACAATGTCCTGAAGTGTGGAAGATTTCATTGCATCAGCCCTTAATGTTTTCACTTCAGTGCTTAGAGCTTCAAATTTCTCTGAGATGGATTCTTTTTCTTTTGTCACCAACTCCAAATTTGTCTGGAAATATAAATGTTTGAATGCAATTTTAAAATATAAAATTTGAAACAAGATTTCTAATATGAAGTTGTACATTTATTTTTATTTTACAGATGATAAATTTAAAAATGTACATAAGTAATTAAAATTTCAACTTAATTCGGACCTCGTTTTTAAATTTTTTAAACATATATTTAAACTGTTTGAAATAGGGCTGCCCATTTATTTAAATCATTACTAAAAACAATGCATGTATTATATTCGTGTTATACAATGAGTGGTTATATTCGTGTTATACAATGAGTGGTTATGTTATTTTACCTCAACGTCATCTAGCTGAGATTCAGCATCATCTAGCTCTTCATTTATTTTCCTTAGTTTAGCTTGCATCTGTTGTTGGACTATGTGGGATTTTTCAAGGTCACTCTTTAATGATTTTACCTTGATTTCAAGACAATATCAAAATTTTTACAGAGATTAAGATTTATTTTGCTGCAATTGTTCTATATGCTTTTAAAAACTGATAAATAGAAAGGTTACTTTATGAAACAACAAATTCAACCAAATATGAAAATCTTAAAATAAAAAAACTTCTAAAAAATATGAATGAATTATTTGACTTTTCAAAAATGTAAACTTTAAAATGTAACTTCAAAACATAAATTGATAAAAGTATAAATAATTTCATCACCACTAAAATGTGAATTTTATAGAAATATTAATTTCTTTCATTTTCACAATCAAAATAACCATTTCAAATGTAAGTATATGACCTAATAAAACTTCAGTTTTTAATGTAGCAATGTATGAATATTATATAATAAAAACTATTAAAAAATTAAACTTTAAAAAAGCAACAAAACTATTTGACTGACCACATCATCGTGTGCATCCTTTTCTCTCTGCATCTCCCTCATCTGAGCTTTGAGCTGCACAAGCTCCCCCTCTATCTTTGTCTTGTCCTCAATGATTTTTCTCAGAGTCATGTCGCTAGAGCGGGAAGGGCTGCCACCTTTCAAAGCCTTAGACTTCGGACCTTTCAAAGAATTTTTTTTTTTATTTTTAAATTTAGTTTTAAAAATTAGTATACAATTTTAATCGCATTCTTAAATATTGTGGTTACTCTAAGTGCTCATTATCTTCAGCACACACAAAATGATTATTTTTTTTTGCCACCACCCTTACAAAACTTAAAATCCAAACACAACTAATCATAAAACAGTTTCAAACTGTTACTTTTTTAATTTTGTTTCAATATGGGAATCTCATCATCTTAGAGAAAATTACTAGCTACTTTTCATTTTAAAGAGCTTTAAAACCATTAATTGTGTTTAGATAATGAAAGTGCAAGTCAGCTGAGTCAAATTACTATATTGAACCATGTAGAAATCCAGTAAATCTAAGAAAAAGAAAATCAAAGGCAGGTTACATAAAAATATTCTATAACCAAACCTGTAATTCTAGTCCATAACAACTAACTAAAAACTAAATATAATAGAAGTGTACTACTACTTCCGCTGCTTATAATTCTTACAATGTGTCTATTCAGACAGAAAAAAGGTGATAGAGCATACATGATTTTGACAAAATTATTATTTATTATATATCCATTATAATAAAATACTATAATAATTATTAATTATTTGTAACAATTTATTTCATTCTCACTTTTACAGTGATTATAGAAAATCACTATGATTTAATAGACAAACAGTGCATTTGTTTACAAAATATCAGAATTTGCAAGTTAATGTACTAACCTAAGTTTCAACATATAAAAAATATGAATCAACTTGAGTAAAGAAAAATAATTTTAAAAAAAACCTACTGTCTTTCTCTTCATCATCTTGCTCTATGCTTTCCCTCCGAACAGTTTTGTTTGCCTGCTCCAGTTCAGTTCTCTTTCTATCTAATTCTTCTTCCTTTTTATCTAACTGTTGCTTTTTCTTCTCTAGCTCTTCCCTCCTTATTGCTAAGTCTTCTTTTTCTTCTGTAATCTCTGCTTTAACTTGATTTAATTTGCTCCATTCTTTTTGTAAATTTGATCTAATAAAGTAAAAACAATAAAATAATTCTGGTATATTTCCAAATGGATTTTTAAAAATCAAAACTATTACAAACATGTTGGGCTTAATAAAACTATGCAATTAATTATGGAGACCTGGTACTGTAGGTTTATATGCATTACATAAACATATTCTTTTACGAATAATTTTATTAAAACTGTATTACTAATTTGATTTCTCATTTGAGTAGCCAAAAAAAAACAAATTTAAAAGAAACTAAAAAAGGAATTGCCTCAAAATAAAAATCTCAAAAACTTATTACTTAAAAATTTAAAGTAGTGTTTTGTTAAGCAGATAGTTTTTCCTAATATTTAATCCCACTCTTGGAGCAACATTAGTGTAGATCTCTTAAGCTAGCCTTTTTAATTAAATAAACTAATAGTCATTAGACTAAGTCAGCTAAATGTCCTGTAATTAAAAATATTCCCAAAACTAATTAATTTTAAAAATCATTAGACTAAGTCTGCTAAATGTCCTGTAATTAAAAAAATATTTAAAAACAAGTTTACTTTTCTTTCTCCAACTCCATCTTCTCCTTGTTGAACACGTCCTTCTCTTTCTTAAAATCAGCTCGATCATTCTCAATTTCTTCCATCTCTTTCTCTATCTCCTCCCTCTCCTGGTTCAGCTGGTTTCTCTCCTCCTCCAGCTTCTTCTTCCCCTGCTTCAGTGAGACTTCATTCATAGAACTCTCCATGTCATCCCCTTCTGTGTACCCACTCAGTTCTGCTTTCAGTTGGGAAATCTTCAGTGTTGCATTGTGGGAAAAAAAATTAAACTCAGCCATAAAAACAAGACATGATTTTAAATATTAAATTATTTATTACACAACACAACTGATACTAATGTATTGATTCGGATCTGGGTACTTATAAAGCAGAAGACAGTTAACCCAGAAAAGAATGGAGTTCAGATCCTGAGCTCAAATTTGTAGATCTGGTACGTCGGACTCCCAAGTCCCCTACATAATAGCGTTGGGGGAGGAGAGGTGCAAGACTGCCGGGAACCAAGAAGAGTTTGCTCTCGACCCTAACCAGACATCTTGACTTTAAGCTGCGGCCTTCACGTGGCTTCGGAAGAGTGCCACTAGTCGGACCTAATGGGTGCGGAATGGCTAGTGGTAGCCAACAGCAGCTAGAGGTTTTTGATCTGGCCGAGTAGAACTGCAGTATGCGCTAGGTTCAAAGAATGGCCGAACGCCCCCCACGATCAAGCTGGGTACCAGTCGGTAGGACGACGTCCCGCGTCTGGTGGGTGGGGAAAGAAAGCCCGGTGAGAGCCGACGGAAGTAGCGACCGATGTGTGGGGAACTCTTGTGGTCGGAGTTTGCTACACTGAGGCCTGCCTGGCTAATGGAAGTCAACCTTCTGAGCCGGTTTCCGTATAAGGAAGGAAGAGGAAGGAAGCTGTGGTGGGTAAATTAATCACTTAAAGGAAATGCTGGACATATTGCTGACCACAATATCCCTTTATTTGCAGAGGTTACAGAAATAAGTGAACTATACTTCATCTGCCCAAGAGACAGCCAGGTTTAAAAGAGTAACTTTACTTAGAGTAAAAAAGTAATGATTTTACTAGTATTGCTATTCTAATCCACTAGTATTGCTATTCTAATCCTAACCATCAACGTTGAGAGTAAATGTCCAAGAAAAATGCAAATATGTAAATTAGCTATGGCCTACTGCAATTTATAAAAGAAAAAGATTTATTGCACTTAAGATAAATATCAACTTATTTCAAGACATTCTTTCACACTGGTATGTTTTACAATGGAGAGCTGGAAGTGGATAAATTCTTTAAAAATGTTCATGCAATCTATTACCATCATTTCAGCATTCTGCAAATCTTCCTCCAGTTTGCTGTTTTCTTCTATCAAGGCACTGATTTCTTCTTCATGTTCTTTCTGTAGCTGTTGGCTAAGTATTTTAGCACTTTCACGCTGTTTGCTCAATTCTTCTTCCAAATCACTTCTTTCCTGGTGAAAAATAAAAATAAAAAGATGTGAATAAGCTCTCTTCAAAAGGAGATAAGTTACTAGAAAATAAAACACTCTTAAAAATGTTACCAAATTCATGTGTTGGTTTAGGGTTTATGTGAAATTAAAGCACTATTCAGAATTAATTTAATTAGGACGCTACACAAATACTTGAGCTGTTTACAGGAAAAAAAATGCTAAGTCCTCTGATCTATCAAATTAATAATTTATACAATAGCATAATAATAAATAATACCATTGCACATTGTAATTACATGTTATCATGTTTATGTGAATTTTTTTTCTGAAAATTTATTGAAATAAATTTCAAGAAAATTTGAGTTAAAACTTAGGAATAGACCATCATTATTTTAAAAAATAATTATTAAATTATAGATTAGATAAAATATGTTCATATTTGAAAAAGCTTGTAATTATTCACAGATAGTTATTTCTCTTGCGATGGCAAAGTAAAGGTATTGACCTGAAGCGTTAGTAGTTTAAGTAACTTTTCATTTTATTTTTTAAATAAATATTATGAACCCTTTCAAGTATCCGTTTAAGCTCTGTTTCCGAGCTCCGACCATCTTCAGTTTCAGGGCTAGTGGGACCAGGGGTGTGGCGTTTCTCCTCCAGTCTCTCCAACAGCTGAGCTCTCTCAACAAGGAGGTAAGCAATTTGTTCCCCTGAACTAGTGCTTGTGATCTCAGCCAGGCCCTGTTGAGTCAACATCTCAACTATCTCTGCTCTGGCTTCTTCTGTAGGGTACAAAATGTAAAGAAATTGTTTTGGATTCATAGAAACAACTGCACAAAAATAAAACACACAAACATTCAGACCTAACAACCTGTAGGACAGATATATTAGATTTCACAATCTCTGCTCTAGCTTCTTCTGTAGGGTACAACATGTGAAGAAATTTATTTTGGGTTCATTGAAACAGCTGCACAAAAATAAAACACACAAACATTTTGGAAAGTAAAAGATAATGTTCTCCTTTCAGACATAACAATCTGTAGGGCAGATACATTAGACATCTGCAAATGAAGGGATAATGTGGTGAGGACTATGCCCAGCCACCTTTACATGTCTAAGAATGAGTCAGGTACCCATCAGAGATGGGTGGACTCAGGGACATCTTAAAATCATTAGCCAGGACTGAGATTCCAATTGGAAACTTCCGGGTTAGCAGTAGAGTGCCATACCACTCAACCACACCGTCCCTCAAATGTTCTAGTAATTTATTATAAATTGAAACATAGACCTAGAACAACAAGTAAAACAGTTTCAGGTTCACTTACTGCTAGTCTCTTCTTCCAGTCTCTTTACACGTCTCTTCAGAGATTCATTCTCTACTTCCAGCTCTTGTATCAGGGCCTCTCTTTCATCTGACAGCTGGCGTATGTTCTCAACATAACTTTCCACTTCTTTCATCTCTGCTGCCTGAGATTCTTTCAGGCTAATTTCAGCCTGACGTGCTTTCTCAAGTTCATCCTAGGAGCAATATCAACAAAACAAAAGGGATAAAAGAAGAAGAGAATATCACCAAAACAGAAAAAAAAATTTGTTGTAGACTTTTGATTTTAGAAAACATAGAAAATGGATGTTTTCTTTTAAAGGCAGTTTTTATTTGATTACTCGTCTATTTTTTTTTTACCGTTTACATGATTTTAATTTGTATTACTTTATTTTAAAATTAAAAACAAAAAAAAAACCATTTCAACAATGTTTTCAACTGTTAAACTTAATACTTTTTAGATAAAAATTAAAGGTATAAATTTCAAGAAAATCTGTTTTTTAAGGTTGTCTACTAAAGACATTAAATGCTACTAATGAGTAGGTAAATGCTATACTTACTTGAGTATGGATGTAAAGTTTCCAGAGAAAGAGAAGTTTTTCAACATCACTGGACACAGGACTCAAGCCATCTTCTGTCAGCTTGTGTGTTATTTGACTGTGAAGGTCCATGGCGTTCTCCTGATTAGAAAATAAATAAACAGTAAATATAATTGCACACATTTTCACTTCTGCTATTAAGCAGTGGTGGGGGACACATTTACAAAATAAAAAAATATTTACAAGCATATTTTAAAATGATATAGCTTTAAAACAATAATTGATTTTACTTGGTTTGCCTATATATAGATAAAAACTAAGTTAGAAATATCTAAAATGAAATCAGCTAAGCTTATCTTTACAAAAAAAAGGAAATACAATCAGGCCTAAATACATCTTGTATGCAAGGCAGGCATAGTCAAGATTAGTCAAGGAATTTAATATGGTAAGATCTGATAAGAGTGAATTTGTAAACAGTCAATCTTTATCAAACAGTTGTGCTGTTAATCTAAAGATGTGTGCAATTTTTTGTTTGAATAACTCTTTCCCACAATATAATTTGGATAAGCTATTCATAAATTGATTAAGATTAAACTTCAGAATTTTCTTTCTGCTTGCCAGTGAATAGAAGCAGGGGCAGTACACTATCACATCTAAATATATACTTCAGTTTGGTCATTGAATGCAATGGCCCACTGTGTCAGTAGTGTAGGGTGCTCTTTAAAGTGAATGTAAATGCCATAGTGCTCCTCAGGGAGCCTGGGGCACTCCCAATCACACAACCAGCAAAAGTGCCTGATTTGATTTAATCAACAATTATAGCAGTCCATGGTTTCCACAGTGTATTGCACCCTTTAAAATGAACACAGGTGCCATCGAACTCATAGGGTCACCAGGCCACTGTGATGCATCTGGTGCTGTTTTAAGGTGGAATCAAGTAGTACCCCTAACCCCCTATAAAGGGAGCTCTTTAAAACAAATGTAGTTGCCATAGTGCTCATGGGGGAGCTTGGGGCACTCCCTGTCAAGTGACTATTGGGGCATTATCATAAGTGCCCAATTTGATTCAATGTGGTGTAATTTAAAACCCCACCAAAAACACCCTGGCATGTAAACATTTTGTTACCCTTTAAAAAAAACTGAGCTTTAATTGTAAGCCTACTAATTGATGATTACTAACAAACATAACAATTAGTAATTAATTTTCCATCATATCCCTCTCAGTTATGATCCTGTCAGCTGTCACAAGCCACATAGTACATACTGTCCATTTTTCATTCATTCTATTGTTTTATATTAGTATTAATTACACTTACTTGTGAAACTTTGTTTAGGTTCTGTGACATGTTTCCAATGTTATAGAATAAATAATATTTTTATTTAGGTCTATGTAGTAGCATAACTAGCACCAGCAACTTAGTTGTTAGATCTAATCTAGATTCTAGATCTAGATCTAGTACCATAGATCGTAATTCATACTAATTTGTGAGTCTCTGACTGGCATTTGGCATTTAGTTTTTAGCTAGGGCCCTACCTACTCCTACTAATAATAAACTAATAAACTAGATCTATGACTATGTAACATCTTTCCAAAACATAATTCAAGCAGATATATCCTATGGCCAAGCAACCTTTTTTGAAACTCTTAAGTTATAGTCATGATATTGTTGTCAGAAAGTTGTGTTTTTCAAGCTCTTGTCTTTTTTAATTTACGGGCGGTAGCCATTTTTAAACAAATGATGAATTTTGCATATCAACGGCGTTTAAAACTGCTATGTGACGGCTCACTTCAAAGTATTAAACATCTCATTAATTTATTATTTTTTATAACGCTTATGCAATAATTTTAGAAACTAAATTTTAAAATTAAACACTAATATTTCTATAATTTAACAATATTATTATTATTATATTAAACAATAGCATGGTTCGTTTCTTAAAAATTGTTTATACTGAGACATGTTTTGACTCGCTTTAATTTGGTTAATCTAGTCTACGCACCGATTTTAAATTCATTTAAATATTTGTACATATAAAGTTGTAAACAGCCAAAATTAAAAATAGAGTACGACTACATGTTGTCAATTTTATTTTAGCAGCAATTTTGTATTATTTATTTTTTCTTTCTTATCACGTTCTTCCATAAAAATAAAAAGTAAAGTTCCATTTCGAACATGACGGTCCATGCCCCATGGGCGGGGAAAGTAAAGTTGAGCTCAACTGTTTCTGGCGGATGGGCATGCTTTTGAGCACACTATCCCTTCATAATCATATGCCGAAGTCTTAGAAACAGGCCCATAATAATATACATCTAGAATCTAGGCCTATATTTAAAGCTTTTTCAAAATTTAAAATAGGCCAAGGGGGTCGTCCATAAATGACGTCACACTCGTAAGGGGGGGGGCGTAATTTTGTGACGATGTGTGATGAGGGGGAGGGGGGGGGGAGGGGTCCGATGGTGCGACGTCACACTTTTGCATATTTAAAAAAAACGATTCTAATAAGTTGTAATAGGAATTGATTAAAATACTCTATTTTGACAGAGTTCAGACAAGATTTTGGAAAAATATCAATGTTTTGAAAAATTCAACTGCAATTTTGAGGGAGGTTGTAAGCTGAGGTGTAACGTCATTTTAGGGGGGTCTGGCTTTTTGTGACGATGTGTGACGGAGGGGAGAGGGAAAGAAAGAAAACTGCTCACTTTTAATTAATATGTTGGGCCTATTGAGAATCAAGATTTCGTCTCTGCACGGCAATCGATAGGCCTATATAATAATGTTGCTGATTAATAAATATATTCTCAATAGTTTGATATCATAAATATTAAACAAAATATTAATTTATCTCATAACATAATATGCAAATATAAATGTTCCGCTCATCCCCAAATAATTTGTGTCTGTCACTTTTGAATTCATGTTGAACAGTGTTGATAGCACTCGACAATTATAATACATTAGCAACGATGTAAACTATCATGGCCGACTTGTAGATACCGACTTAGATCTAAATGAAAATTGAAGGATTTTTAATACACAAATAAATTCCCTTTAATCTTAAATTGAAAAATAAATGTGTACAGACAGAGCACTAAATTAGTGTTTTCAAATCTTTTTCACCATGGATATAAATCCCTTAGCAAACCCAAAAGGGTCAAAACTGGTGTGTGAGATTTGTCAGATGCCAGCTTTTCTTCAGTGCAAAGCATGCAAATTGACCTATTACTGGTAAAAAAAAGTACATTTAGAGCTACATCTAATAGAGATTTTTGCTGTTTTTGTTATAACATTAAAATAATATGCCTGGGCAGTAAGATGGGAGGGGCCAGATGTTGCTTAGCTTAGGTATCAGGCCCCTCCTCTTCACACAGCTGATGATCTGATTCTGATGGACCTAAGGAACAGGACATCACATTAAACATTTAGAAGAACTTATAACATCAGCTTTCCATATAAATTATTAATTATGAGATTATCCTAATAGTTTCATCTTTTCCAACAGTTATTTGTAACTGGAACTGGACTCACTGACTGTCATACTCTCATATTGTTATTTTATTTAGACATATAAGCCTACCATGATAAACTATAGACCTACTGGCATATTTTTAGTATTTAAGATTTTATTCTTTTACTAAAAATGTGCCTACAGATTGAACATATATGTAAATCAATCTGAATGTCAACTATTAGCCTATACCAAATAACAGTTCTGGCCTCAGAAATCTTTCATTTCGTTTTATTTTTTATTTATCTTAGATTCTTAGCTTGTGCATAAATTAATTATTGTTAATGAGTAATAATAATTCGGATTTTTTAGACTCTTTTATAATTATTATAAATGCTTCTTTCTCACATTTTTATTTTATTTTCAGCTCGGTTGAACACCAAAAAGCTGACTGGGTTGGTATTCATGAAAAAATTTGTGAAAAGCTTGCTTTCCTTAGACAACCCACACCTTTTATGCCATCCAAAGAGGAACGCGAGAAAAGACAAATGCAAGTAAAATTAATGAAGGTAAAATAAAGATAGTACAAATAAAGGAAGAAAGCCTATTATGGTACATTTATTCCACTTGTGAATTTGTTCTATAAGGTGTTCTACAAAACATGATTGCCCTTTGACTTATTATGGAAAATCATTTAATGTGCACTAAGTCCTAAGTATAGTAAAGTTTCCCTTTATACCAGACAGTCAAATTGCATATAAAGAGGTAGTTAAGTCAGCACTATTTCCTACCAACCTTTACTTTCCCTAATGTTAGTCAGGTACCCATAAGAGCTGGGTGAACTTATGGATGTCTTACTTACTCAAGCTCAGGATCCAAACTCGAGATTTGCTGATTAGCAGTCATACACTCTATCGTCCAACCATCACATCCCATTCATGCACTAAATGGAACAAAAATATTTAAAACTTGAAGGAAAGAAAAACAATTTTCAGATGTTTCTTATATATACTTATGGTATTTAAATAGTACTAATAAATACAAAAATATCTTATGTCTAGCAATGATTAAAAATTATTTATTACTTGGTGTTACAATGATTGATAATAGCTATAATGAAAACATTAACTCATAATAATTACTCACATAAGCTATTAGACTTCAGACAATTGTTCATGCAAAGCATACACACCTTACTTTAATTACTGCACTTCATTTACAATTATTGGAGAGGTAGGGCTAGCAGTGGCAAGTGTAAAACAACCCAATAGTAAGACAATGGTATGGGTACACTTGCCAATATCTGTATCTATAACCATAAAGATGAAACAATTTTTTTACCCATTTTCTCATTTAGAATATATACTTTAGTTGTAGTTGCTCTGGTATAGTTTAAAATCATGTATATAAGAGGCATATCAAATAAATCATAGGGTATTGCAGTTAACTGAAAGCAATTCAACTAAAAGACTTTTTTTTCTTTGTTTTTTTAAACAGATAGATCTTATTGAAATGTCTCGGACTTTAGCTCAGAAAATGTTGTTTGAAGGGAAACATGAGGAGTCTGTCCCTGCAGCTATGCAGTCACTAAGATATGCCATAGATGTTTTTGGAGTGGCTACCATTGACCTTGTTCCATCATACCTTCTTTTAGGGGAAGCTAGTGTGGGTTAGTCAATATCATTTTGTCTAGAATTGTTTAGTATTCATTATTTTCTTGCTGTTGAAAAACAAATTAGTATTTAACTTTTTAAGAGGACCTACTTTCATAAGCTAGTTTTACATATTATATTTGTTTCTTTAAAAAATAAAGTAATCTTATTTTTTAGGTCTTGGCAAGTTGACTCAGGCAGAGGATTACCTGGCTAAAGCTCAGTGGACTGTCCTGAAAACTCCGGACAGTTCCAGGGCAATCAAATCCAAACTTTACAGAAATCTTGGTCTTCTTTATGCAGCCAAAGGCGATATTGAAGAATCACTCAGGAATTTTGCTGATGATGTAAATATTGAATTTAAAAATAGGTTATTTATAAATGTGCAAGTGCCATAATATTGAATATATAGTTAATTTAACTGAAGAAAAGAATAATTTAGAAAATTAAGCATGACATACCCACCATGGTACAATCATCCTATTGTATTTAAAGAGCCAATGAATGAATGAAATTATTATTTAAAATGGATCTTATTTTTTATTAAAACAGTTGCATTTTTAATTGTACTCATTTTCTTATCTTTTTATATAAAAGATTTACCATTCATCCGAAGAATTCGGAACTGACCATATCAGAACATCAGGTGGATATTTCCACATGGCCAATGTGTTCTTTAGACAAGGAAAAATGGATGTTGCTGATTCTATGTACAGACAGGTAAAAAAATAATCCTACATTCCCTTTCCTTTTATGAATGTTTGTAGCAGCAGCATATGTTTACTATTATTTTCTCTTTGGACCACTTACGGACAATATTAAGGGATTAGGCACTTATTATGTAACACACATTTATCATTTTTAGCCCACTTTAACCCTAAATTATGCTATATAATATTTCATAGACTACCATCCTTCATATTAGGGGTCATCCATTTATGACGTCCACAATTTTTTTTTTGGATTTTGGACCCCCCCCCCCCCCCGTCCACAAAAATCCACTTTTTTTCCTTATAAAAGTCTATATGCGTCCACAAAAGTCACTTTTTTTCGGACCCCCCCCCCCCCCCCGTGTATGGACGTCATAAATGGATGACCCCTTATACCATCATTTCAAAAAGGATTAATTCAGCTAAAATGAGAATAAAAATAAAAATTGCCCTTTACCCCATAAAAACACATAGAACAAAATTATAAACTCCCCATTTCTCCCATTGTGTAACATATTTGTGAAGAATCCCTAATGGCTAGATAGACCTATTTTAAACACAGCTAGTTTTTGTCAACACTTGCTTTTAATAACATGCTTACTGCAATTTTTAAGTAATTATTCACAAGTGTAACAAATTAAAAAGTATTGCTCAGCTTAATAAAAATGGAAATGAAACTTTGGAAACTAAATCTCTTAAAACACATTTTGATACATCATGATCACAAAGGCTGTTAGTCTTGAGACCACTATAAAACTCAAGACAATACTATAAAGGCTTTTGCTGTAGAATTTGCTTTATTAACAAACCTCTTTTATTCTATTTATAATGACAGTTCTTTTGTTGCTTGAATTTTAGATATTGTAAACTGAGTTGGTGAGTGTAATAGTGACAGATTTTGGCTTTCTTATTAAAGCCAATTTAGTTTTGTTTTTTACTTTGCATTTTATCATTTGTTTTGTTAAAAATTGTGTTACGCCATTGCAAAAAGATTTGATTTTTTATTTTTTAATATTTTTTTTTGGGGTCAGAGAAAAGCTTTAATGAAGTATGAAGGGTTTATTATTACATTTCAGTGACTATAGTCTTTATAAATCTTACTCAGAGTTTCTTTCACATTCTTCACTCAGGGAGGGACACTCTAGTTACCTTATATATTATTCTATACAGTTATATAATTTTTCTATTTCACCTGTTCTTACTAGCATTCCACTGCTTTTATTTTGCTTTTATTTCCTTTATCATCTAAATTATATTATGTATTATAGGCCTGTAATTTAAGATACTATTTTTAAAAAAAACACATTTGTTTTAGTTTTATTGGCTAGTGAGTGTTTATTTTTTAAATTTTATTGTAGATTTGAAAACTGTAACTGAAATTGAACTCTACAGGTAATCAACATTTGGCATGAACATTTGTCTGACATCCTGACACAAGTGGTAGCCATGGAAACCACAGCTAAATCCAAATCAAGAATGATTGGACCAGCTAAGGGACTTCTTGATGAAATATCAAGTGGACAAGGTATTATTTACCCTTTTGAATAATGTTTTTATAAGTTAGTTACTCTTTAGGACTTAGCAATATATAGGGCAGATGTAATAGAGTTCTTCTGTTTCTCTTACCTCTGCCTATAAAAGTATAGTTTGGTTAGTTCTGTTCCCAGCCCCTTTACTTTCCCTAACATAAGTCAGGTACCAATCAATGCTGGGTAGACTTAGGGATGTACTATGGATTTGATCCTGGGATCCAATATTTATGTTTGGGCTAGCAGTCATGCAGTCTACCTCCATACATGATTACACTACAATCAGCTTAATAATTTCTCATTGCCATTTTGGTTATTATTTAAAAATTTATTTCTGTGAACAAAGCAGACTGTACACCGTAATATATACATCAAATTATAATTATTTTTTATTTTATTTTATTTACTATCTTGATCTTTTATTCTCCCTACCCCCTATCCAAATGTGTTTAGGGTGATATGATTTTTTTCACATGAATGTTTTTGTTTATAAATAGAAAGAAATAAGCTTCACAAAAATATTAGTCTACTAAAAAATAACAATAAATCGTAATAAAAAATAGTCATTGAAACATTATTTTTAAATGAACAGATGCTGCTCAAGATGCTGAAGCTGTGCAAATCTTGACCTCTATCTATGACATCAGAGAACACCAGACCAACAGGCAAGCCCAGGACTTGGCTCAGACTTGCCATGCCCTGGCCATGTTGTATTTTGTGTTAGGTGACATCAAAAAGGTGAGGAACATGTTATTTGTGGACAACTTTACTTTTAAAATTATTTTAATTCCAGCGTTTTCATTTTTAAATTGAAAAAAATTAAGTGCATATTATTGCTTGTTTTGGTAATTATTTATTTTAATTTTTAATCTATTTTAGGCTAAAGAGTTTGGAAGAAAAGCAATTGTAGCCAGTGACCAAGTCAAAGATGATAATTTCTCAAAATCGCTGGTTGAATTCATGAAGTTTTGTGAAAAGCAAAGCACTTTATAGTAGCAATAAAGCATTGTTATCACATACATTTTTTTTCTAATAACTCTGAATTTACACAAAACATTTTTTTCAAAATTTTAATGTGCTTTGGGTGTAAATGAAATATGATCATGAATTTACAATTACAATAGTATATTTTGTTTCCAAGTAGAAGAGTTTCACTTTATATTTTATTCAAGTTTCGCAAATCAGTTTGTTGGAGCTTTTGTAAACATATTATAAAAAAGTTTTTGTAAATATTCATGTTAAATTGTTAATTTTAGTAACTTGACTTAAATATATAGCTTTTCTAGTGAAAAGACTAACAAATAATGTTTAGAATTTCAAACAAATAACAAAAACATCATAAACAGTTGCAATAATGTTTTATTAGCATTTTGTTTAATAGATCAATTTACACATTTTTTTTTTAATTTTGGAGCTGTATATGCATAATAACTACCTGATATGTCTTCTCTAAAAACAAAAACACTTGCTATTGTTAAGCAGTTTACAGTATTGTCTTAAAATAAAATGCGTTCAACTTTAGCAATTCGATTTTTGTTTTAACTTGATTGATGTTTTCGGAATTTTAAAAAAATAGAATACTAAAAAAAACTCTGTTTAAAAAACAATTTTTACAAAGTTAGATTCTTGAACAGGTTAGGTATAGAATTTTATTTAATTTTAAAAAAATGTAAAACAGTGACTGAACGAGATTTTAAAAAATATATTATTAACTAACTTAATCATTTTACCAATGATACAACCGCTTTTGGGCTTTTTACAAAGATATCAGGCACAACAAAATATAAAGGGGCAATAAAAAAGTTGTATAGGCACAGCTAGTGGATTTGAGGGGCAAACAGGCACAGGTTAGGCTTGTTCTTGTGCAGCTAGGAAAGGTGAAGACATAGGACAATTTTTTTTTCAGAAAAAAAAATTGACAATTAACTTAAGTTGGATTGGATTAGTAACAAACAAATTGACAATAGCACAATTTTTAAAAAAAAGTATAGTCAACACAATTAGTATTTAAAATGTGTAAAAAATATAAATCTTCTGACCAATCTTAAAATGATCTTTCACCAATATAAAGAAAAAATTGATAATAAAAACAACATAATAATTCATTTTATGAATAAATTTGAAATTATATTAATTAGGTGACTAATATTTCTTTAACGAAACAAAAATCAACGTTTAAGATAAGAAAATATGTATCAATATATCGATCAAGGAAGACCTTTAAACACCTAAAATATGCACCTGATTTGTTAAAAAGTAATAGATAAGCTGCTTTTTTTTCTTCATGGATAGTTGAAAATCAAATACAAAATTATTCATAACACAAGAACTGAGTGCATTAATAATTGTGAGCAACCAGAAAATATGATTTCATAACGAAACAGGGATGTAATTTTATATTTTCATCAACATATTTTTATTCTAATCTACTTTTTAAATTGCATAACAAGTTATTATTTGAACATAGTAGGTCCATTACCTATTCTAAGTAATTTTAAACTATATGTAGCTCAAGCAACTAACATGAAAAATGTTTTTTCTTACAGTAATGACTAGCTAAATATTTCTATTTCTAATTAAATTCCTTGAAGAAAGTGAGAAATGTGAATAAATTAGTAGGCTACATTATGTATGTTACATTTAACTAATAAGTGTTCATTTTTTTTTACACAACATTAAGTTTGTATGTTTTGAGCAGGTAGATTAGCAATTAAAAAAACTGGGGAGTAAGCCAGAGAACAATTTTCTTTACTCCCAGATAATTGCATTGTTTATTTTTAAAATATATACATTAGTGGAAAATAAGCAAGGTTATTAAAACATTACATTAAATGGTAGGTAAACAGAGAATGTTAGTGTAATAATTATTACAAAGGATTTTAAGAGTGAAAAACTTGTTTTTATCATAATTTAAAAAAATGCATTTTTAAATTTGATGACAACAAACTCAATATTGCTGATGAGAATTTACAAAAAAAATGTAAAAATATACCAAATTGATTTGTGAACAATTGAACATCTGGCAGTATGGTACTTCAACAGACTTACATTATAAACATAAAGTCTTCAAAAAGACTTTCTTTTAAACATACATTGAAATAATTTTAATGAACCATAAATATTCTTATTTCTACATGTAGATATAGTGATAATATAAATAAGTTATTGCACATAGAGTTCAACCAACTAATAAATGTACATATGTCAACAATATTTCTACTGTTTCACAAATCTTATTAAATTCAACCTTGTTAATTACTGTAACTATATGATTTATCTAAATTATGTCAAAAGAAAATCAAATTGGTGAACTTAAACTTCATGCATAATTCATATTTATACAAGCTCATATTGAAATATTATGTTGCAGGTTGCATGGTATTTTTTTATGTTTTGAATTGTTTTTTACTCATCAATTTCATAGTGTAAAAACTACCTATGTAAAACACAAATTTCATAATTTATATATCAATGAAAAGTCAGCAGTCCCATACTTTCTTCAAAGTAATTTTTTTGGTAAAATTTCAACATACTTATTTGAAGAAATTTAGCTCACCGTAATTCAAATTTTCAAAACAAATTTAGATCAATCTAATAATTATAAAGAAAATTTAGTTTCTTTTAAAATGAGATTAAGAATTCAGGTGTTTTAAATTATTTTTAACATCCATGAAATGTAAAGCACAGTTTTAAAGAACTATTAAAGCCCAACAGTAGTTTACCATTACAGTTAGGTTATATTTGTTGTCTTGATGAAATTAATACCTGCTTGCTATAGAGAAGTAAGTATTAGATCATAACATTTTAGTAATGTACAGAGTGAAAATTAAAAAATGATATCAATATGATAGCCATCTTATTTTTTTTGCTTAAAGAACCTAATGAACTTGAAATATTTTAAAAGTAAGCTTTAAAATCAATGTTTCTAATATATCTAAAATGTAGGTACAGTTTCATATGCTCAGTTAAAACTGATTCAATAAAAAGATATTTACAATAAACAAAATACATGATTTAAAATTAAATCACAACAGTAGTATAAATAATTAAAAAATAAAAAAAATAAACTTGAAATAAATTGCTGCAAATCATTGCTTTATCTATTAGTATGCATCTAAACATTTTTAAAAATCTTACTTATCTGATACTATAAGAACATACAAGGGAGTTTTTAACAACAAAATAATTTTAAATGTGTTTTATCAAATGACAACTTGTAAATTATATCAAAGTGTTGTTCAAATATAATAAGAGTTGGAATTAAAATACAACATTTAGGTAATTGTAAAATTATTTATTTTTCATCTGCTTTTAATTTCCACTTTTGAATAAGCCAAATTGTATTTAGAAAATACAGAAAAAACTACTTGCATTTATTGTAATTGAAGACTTAATAAACACAACTGCATAAAATTGTTTAAAATTCTTTTTCGTAAAATATTGTAATTAAACAATTAAATAAAAAGAGTTTGCCTAAAAATAAAATGAAAATTGTACCCTAAAGTTATGGTATGTATCACAACAACAGCTGGGGAAAGGATCTTGTCAGCCCATGATTGTGGTTAAATTAAATATAAAAACACAAATACAGTTAACAACTTGAACAAATATTTTACAACAAATCATAAAATAATAAACAAGTGAAAACAAGTGAATGTTTTTAAAAACACAAGAATAAATTATTTTAAACTTGCAATCAATTTTGTATATGTAACTATCTGTAAGACTAGTATTTATCATCAAATATTTAATTAAAAAATTATTATAATTAGTTTTCAATAGCTTTCACCCATCTTTTTTGAAAATGGTTTTTAAAAAAAAATTACAAGGAAAAAACTATAATTTTTCAATAACTTCATCAATGATACAAATAGATAAGTAGCAGTAGTAGTTGGTGGACAGATTTTTGTTTTACATGAGTTGTAAACAAGGTTTTAAACACACATTCTGCATGGTAGGGTATAGTGTATTTGTAATGTAATATAAAATATACATCTCGGGTAAGAAAATTTGAATTTTAAGTAAAAAACAGTATTACATCTTTAAACATTAATACAACATTGTATATATTTTTTATAAATTAGTTGTTGGGACTCACACAAAAAAAAATCATGTTTCATCTAGGCTTATATCACATTCTTCAAATTCGTCGAACTTCATATCCACTGTTACCTCATGCGGCGCTGTAACTATAATGTTTAACTCTGGTTCTCTATTTTCTTTGATTTTATCCTGTGACATTGCAGTTATATCCCCTGGATTATTATCCAAGCATGGCTCCTGTTCATCATCGCTGCTGATACTATTAGTTTCCTGCTGCATTTCTGCTTTGGTTGGCCTGAAGAATAAACACTTGATTGCACTGTAGGCCCTAGAGCAGTAAGCTCCGCGCATGGTTGTAGACATTACTGGCATATTTTTGTCATTAGACTGATTCCGAGCTCTTCGAGATTGGAGGTTCCAGCGCCTGCTAGGAGTGCAGAACAAGTCTAGGTTAGAACGTTTTTCATTGCTGGAGTTTGAGCTGTCAGATTCTTGGCTCGACTGCCTAGCAGGTTTATTATTCTTTCTATTATGTTTATTTTTATTAAACTGAACATCATTTTGATTAGGTATATTAGAAATATTCCCATTCGTCTGATCCAGGGCGTTAAGCATTTTTTCAGTGTTATCTATGTGACTGTTTGCAGCCAATAGTGAGTCTTGGAATGAATTTAAGTTTGTATATCTTTCAGGTAGAAGGCGAAGGATTTCTTCGTAATGTGTTTCCTTCTCAGCTTCAATGGAATTGACAACGTATTTTGCTGAATTTGATAAAAAGGGAGATTTCTTTAAGCCAAGGGGACGTAAGTGTGGTTGGATATGTTCTGAAGGGGAGACAATGTTGAGAGAATCAGCTGAAGTGTCGCTGTCTTTTCTGTCATTGTGGATGTAATCCGCCATTATTGGTGTAAAGTTGCCAAAGCCTTGCAAAGACAGATCTTCGGATCGACGTTTAGCAGTCGGTGGAGTAGACAGTGATGTTGGAGCTGTCGTCAAATATGACATTTTGGGTTTTTCGATTTCATCTTTGGAATCTGAAACCGAGGCATTGCTGAGTTTCCTACCGTACTGAAAATCTCCCAGAGAAACAGCACTCAACTTTCTATCAGACAGGAGCTGCTCCCCTGGTGCCGAGTCACCAACCTTTCTCCCGTATGGCGTATCAGTAAGCCTTGGATCTCCAAGGGAAGCCACGCTTAATTTTCTTCCTGAGGGTGTGTCCATTAACGAGACGGAGCTGAACTTCCTGTAATTGGGTGGGTCAATCACAAAAGATGTACTCATTTTTCTCCGGTAGGGAGACTCCATCAACGACACGGAGCTCATCTTCCTAGCACTAGGACAGTCTAGCAACGATGCAGCGCTTAATTTTCTAGCACCCGGAGAGTCGTTTAACGATGCACAGCTCAGTCTGCGGATATCACTGTTAGAAATGGCATTATATTTTCTCCTGGTCATATCCTGGCTCATAGACTGTGCTATTGAGTAGGAAGAAAAAGAATTCATAACACTCCCTGGGGTTTTTCTAGGTGTAAATGCTGCGTACTTGTAGTTACTGCATGGAGATGAGAGCGAGGAATGAGGTACTGAAATTGGAGTCGATGCGTTATCGGTGGAGCTCAAAGACTGTGAATGAGTTGGTCTGTTATCCATGTAGAGCTTAGAGTTCACAAAAATGACAGGTTTTTGAGGACTTGCTCCGGATGCCGTGACTTTGGAACCGGCTTTGGAATTGTCTGTTTTGGATGTAGCCGAGGACGAGGCAGATGACAATGAGGATTGTGTGCGGCAGTCTTTTATAGACTTTGGCTTTGGTTGTGGTTGAGGCTGGGCTGCAGCAAAGTTTCTTGGCTTGACCTGTGCTGAGCCTAGCCTGACGGCCAGCCACTGTAGAGCATCTTGCAGGCCCTCTCCACTCACAGCGCTGACTGGGATAATTCCTGCCAGAAAAAAATTGTTAATTTTTATTTACATTCATATTAAAATTGACTAAAATAGTAGTAATATAATCATGTTAAGAAAAAAATAAAAATTAAAAAAAAAAGCTGTGTACTCATTTGTACATGTAAATTATGATTTAAAAGCTGTTCTTTTTAGTCATAAAATATTGTACCATAGTTATATTGTGGCTGGTTTTTACTTTAATTTTATAAATGTGCTAATATAATTACTAGAATATAATCTATGGTATTTTTTAACTAGATAGGCCTATATCATAATGTAAAAAACAAATATAAAATTAACAAAAGTTTCGACAGTCATTTTTGAGGTAGAACATAGATCAAATTACTATATTTTTAAAAAGCATTATTTTAAATACTAAACTTTGTAGCAAATTTACTGTGTTATTTACTAATACTCATCAATGTTCAAATTATTCTTATTAACTTAATAACTGTTGTTGTAATAGTTATCTAAGGTACCACAACATACCCCATGGATGTTTGAGACATTTCAGCCCAAGTTTGTCTGAAATCTCATCCACAGACATTGTGTCTGGCAAGTCAATTTTGTTGGCCAGGAACAGGAACACAGCGCTGGTCAATTCTTCTGCATTCACTGCTGGCTTGATGACATCATAATTGAGCTCGTCTAATCTTTCTGGATCATGGCTGTCAATCACAAACACGACAGCATCGGCTCCTTTATAATAGTGTCTGAACAGGGGGCGCTGTTGGTCAAATAATTCATTTTGTTACAATTGGTTCCGATATTACAATATTCAAGTTTCAGAGTAAAAACATAAAGTATAGGTATTTTTACCTTGAATTATTTATCAGCATGTATTTTTTTACAATTGTAATGCAACCTATTATTCCATAAACAATCTTACATCGAAGAAGCATTTGTATGTAATGCATCTAGATTCTAGATCAATATCTATGTTACCACTGGCATTGGAAGGGTTTCGTTGTAGTATATATATATATATATATATATATATATATATATATATATATATATATATATATATATATATATATATATATATATATATATAGGCTATATATATATATATATATATATATATATATATATATATATATATATATATATATACATAAATATATATATATATGCCTATAACAGGGGTCGGCAACCTGCGGCTCACGAGCCACATGTGGCTCTTTTGATATCAAGATGCAGCTCTCCAGCTCCTTGAACAAATACTAATAATCTTAATAAAAAAATAAAATATTTGAAATAAAATAAATGTACTGGCTCTTTAAAACAAGGAAAATTTTGAAAATTGTAACTTTTGGCTCTTCCGCTTCAAAAGGTTGCCGACCCCTGGCCTATAACAATGATTTACAGAATGTCAAAACAACTGGAGCATGGCTTCTCTGATTGCTGTAGCTAATATGAGAAAGCTGTCATTTTGGATTATCATTTTAACCCCCCTATCACATCAATTCGGTTTTGCAACTGTGTGTTAGCATTCTGTGTAGATCTACATACCAGCTATACAATACTTACAATTTTGTCTCGACTGCCAATGTCCCATGCTGTGAGGTGAAGATCTTTATACTGAATACTTTCCACATTGAAACCTATGGGTAAAATATATCAACTTTCTATTTAAATTGCTCATATCTTAAATTATAAATTATTTTTATTCTTGAAAATAGGCATACACTGCTATCAAAATTTGAATGTTGTTGTATTTTTAAGTTTCAAAGTATTGTAATTAATAAACGAGGAATATTAATTAAATTGTGCAGTTTTTCCCTGACCAGATAAATTAACACGTTTTTGAGTTTAAAATCGTTAAAAACATCAATTCGATTTTTTTCTTAAAACTTTTCTGTTTCATTCATACTTAACACAGTAAGGGGCTGTCCATAAATGACGTCACACTCGTAGGGGGAGGGGGGTCCGTAATTTTGTGACGGTGTGTGATTAGTGGAAGGGGAGGTGGGGTTTAGATGGGGTGACGTCACACTTTTGAGTTATAAAAAAGAAATGTTAGAAAAGGGTTTTAATAAATTGTAATAGATATTGATTAAAATTCTCTATGTTGACAGAGTTTTTTGGAAAAATATTGAATTTTTTAAGAAACATTCAACTGCAATTTTGAGGGGGTGGGGGGTTGTAGGCTGAGGTGTGACGTCATTTTAGGGGGGGTCTGGCTTTTTGTGACGATATGTGACGGAGGGGAGGCGGATGTAAAAAATAGTTTTAAAAGCGTGACGTCATTTATGGATGACCTCTAAGCTAACCATACAATTTACATTAGTTTAAGTGAATCAAGGTAAAAGTAAAATAAAAGAATAATGTAATTTTGAAAGTGTTACATAAAAAATATTAAATATTGATAGAGTTGCATGTTGTAACTGACCTATGGTAGGAATCGTGGTCACAAGATCGTCCAATTTCAATCGATACAAAATGGTTGTTTTTCCCGCAGAGTCTAGACCTTTGAAAAATAAAACAAGATATATTAATATTTAAATATAGGCTTAACCAAACCATCCATGAAGGTTAAACAGGAACATCAAATTTGTATTCGATGAATCGAAATGTTTAAAGTTTGATTTACTAAACTTAGTCCCCCGCACCACCAGTGTTTCTTCCAGACTTTTTCTCCGGGGGGGGGGGCACTTGAAATTTTCGGGGGGGGGGGGGGCGGTAGACTTTCTTCGGGGGGGGGGGGCGGACACTGTTAAAAGTATATATTTTCTATATAAATTATATAAATTTCATTTCGTTCGGGGGGGGGGGGGCGGTAAATTTTTTTCGGGGGGGCAAAGCCCCCCCGAAGAGATGCCTGGAAAAAACTCTGCGCACCACATGAAAGATTTTGCTTGAGTTATTGTCACTATTGTGGTGTTAAAAATTAAGATACCCTATTAGGCCCGAAATCTTAACATTAACACAATTGTGGATATTGCCAGATTTCGTATAGATTTTAAGCCAAAACAAAATTTAAACTAACATATTAATAACAATAATGTGCAAGAAAATGTCACATTTTGAAACAAAACATTGGTTTAACAAATGTTACGATAACAGCCCACAATGCATATATAAATAATGAAAAACATTTTATTTAATTGGAGTCAAGTGTCGTAAAAGTATATTGATATTGGATGAAGGAGAATTTTCAATTTAATATTGGACGAAGAATAATTTTCCATAGGATACCTTATCCTCATACTTAGCCAAAAATATAAACTTAAAGTGCATTAGAGTATTGCCATCACGACTAAACCTACATTGGAACGGAGTTTTTCCACAAATGACATCAAACGCCCTCTTTTCCAAAATAAGCCTATCACTAAATTGTGGCATAATTAATAGCTATTTAACGCATTTTTATTTTAAGAAAAAATGGCCTACAACATGTATGCCACCTCACTTTTATTAACTTGTATTAAGCCCCACTATCCCCCCCCCCCCCCCCGAAGTTCCCCCACCCCCTTCATGTGACGTCATTATTTATGAACAACCCCTTTGACTAATCGATAAAAAAACGATTTTTACTATATCTTAGTCATAGTGCAATTTACAACAGGTAAAAGATACGGATCCGGTGAATGTTATTTCGAAATGACGAATCACTTGGCGCTTAACAATCTTTGTGCGTATTGTGAAATATGTCTGTATGGTGTGGGCGTTTCCGGCGATAACAACAACGAGTAATGCATATTTCTCATGGGGTACCTTTTTTTTAAAAATGTATTTCATCGGTAGTTTTGTACAACTATGAATTTACGCCGAGAGTGAAGTCCCCTGGCGAAGACAACAACAACGGGAATCGACTTCCCGGAGATGGGGATTCGATACCGGTAACAAAATGGTAAGTTAATTATCTGCCGTAAAAACATTGCACGCATCCCTGCTCCCAGGAGGGGAGGTGCCACACGCGAATCTTGCTCACACTTAGATTTGTTTGTGCGTTTATGGGCTCTGGCACTGTAAAGGATGTTAACATCAGAGTTTCTTCCAGCCCCCCCGAAAAATTTTTACCGCCCCCCGAACCCGAACGAAATGAAATTTATATAATTTATATAGAAAATATATACTTTTAAACAGTATCCGCCCCCCCCCCCCCCGAAGAAGGTTTACCACCCCCCCCCCCCCCCGAAAATTTCAAGTGCCCCCCGGAGAAAAAAGTCTGGAAGAAACACTGGTTAACATGGGAGCCTGTAGTACAACTTCTAGTATTTCGTTGATGTGGACCCCCAGTACTTCCTTTAATTGTAATGGGGCCCACAGTATAACTAATAATATTTCACTTGGTGGGGGGGGGGGGGCAGGGGTGGGGGGCGGAAAACATTTTCCGAGGGGGGGGGGGCTCCGCCTGGAAAATGCCAGGATGAAACTCTGTGAGCCCGCAGTATAATAACTGCTGTCCTTCTGTTGATGAGAGCCCGCAATATAACTACTGCACTTCCTTTAATTTTATTGGTAGCCCGCAATATACCTATTCCACTTGATGGGAGCCCGAATTATAACAACTGCTGTACTTCTGTTGATGTGAGCCCTCGGTATAACTACTGCACTTCCTTCAATTCTATTGGGAGCCCGCAGTATAATTACTACTGTACTTCAGTAGATGGAGCCCGCAATAACGACTTGCAAAGGGCGTTTATTTAATTCATGTTATGAAAAACATGTAAATATAAAATGAAAGAAACGAAAAAAAAATCGTATTTATTTATTTAAAAAAAAAAACTCAATGCACTTCTGGCACCGCACACTGCCAACCGCAGTAAAAAAAAAACATTTTGTAGGGGCGAAAGTAAAAAGCTTGCTTTGAAACTGTACTGAGCTGCAAAGCCGTGCGCTGACGGCTTAAAATCGTGTAATATAAAATAATGCCAGAATTGTCTGTCCCTATCCGGCATAACGCAAACAGCGCTAAACACCAAATGTAAAACGCAGACGCCTGATAAAACATTCACGGCAGACGAAATTCGATTGGAGAAAAATACATTTCTTTATAACCCACACTCAAACCCAGCTCCCCCCCCTCACCCGTTTCGTTATTTTTCACTCCTTTTTTTCACCCCACCCCCCACCCCAACATAAAACCATAGATTTAAGAAGATGTCTTTATCCCCCCCCCCCCACACACACACACAAACTTTTTTTATGTGTAAGTGCATTTGCTTTTAAGAGCACTTCTTTAAGAGTACGTTTATTTTCTGAAACGTGCAATAGGATATTCATTGTGTACCGGAAACCGAGATTTTAAAAATTGAAACAACACCGTTTTGTGTTAAAACTCGATGCAGTTAACGTTACAAAATTATTCTAAGCGATGTATTGTGTCAAATGTTTTTTTGTGCTTATTCGAAATATTTATTGACATAGCGAAGTAGAGGCGAAGCCTGGCGCCTTAGGGTGAAGGTGAATATGTTGTTGGGGGGGGGGGAGTGTTGAAAGCATGTAACTATACCCCAATCAGGATTAAATTCAAAATGTGTAAAACGGTGAATGGGTGGAAGGATTATATTATTTTACATTTCCGTTTCAGCACCATAAGAAAATAGCCCCTGACGCTAATATGTGTGCCCATATATGCTTTGTTGAATAAAAGGACAACCCAGTCGATAGAAAGCATGTAAACAGAATGACCATGTATATATATATATATATATATATATATATATATATATATATATATATATATATATATATATATATATATGTGTGTGTGTGTGTGTGTGTGTGTTTGTGTGTATATATATATATATAATGCAAAATGGCATGACTTCATGATATACTTTTATATACTTTCATCTATTGTCCCAAAGAGCCGACTGTCCACACGTCCCCATTCCATCCATGGCCACGATACTGCTTCCACCAGATATAAAGATACGACAAATTCAGCTCCTGTGAAGACATGGTAGTGCAAACCTCAACATCCCCACTTGACTATCTTTCATAACGTCTGCTGATCTGAGATATCTCACTCCCTAACTCTTGTAAATGTCCCCAGCGTTTTAGGCTTCTTCGTCACGTTTTTGCAGCGCTCTCAACCGGAGTTATTTCCCCTTCAACTGTCAGCAGTCAGGGGTTGGACTGCATCACTATGCTGTGCCGGTGTTTACGGCGGGATTAGCCCGTAGTGTCGAAACGAAAGTACAGATATTTTAAACTTGGCCGTACTGTCGAAAATCCCGCTGAAATATTTTAAAGTAATCGAACAGCTAAGATCGTTGTTTATTTTACTTAAATAATTTACGATACCGAAACAAGATCCAACAGAAAACATAATTAATCGATTTGGTGGGAAATAATATATCAAGATCTTTTTGTAGAAAATAAAATAGATCTTGGCACTGATTAGTGAATTACACAATAATTAGATCTACATCTATAAGGGGTAAAACTCTATTTTAACGTATTTTATTCCCCGTTTCACGTTCACCTCCAGTTGAGCGTATTTTATTATTAATTATTAATTAATAATTATAAAATTAATATTACATTATTAATAATTAATTACTAATAATTACCTAATTAGGCTTATTATTAATTTATTAATATTTTTTTTTTATTTATAACATTTTATTGATAACCCTTGCCTTAGCTGGCATAGCACGGGTTGAGGGTGCAGACTGCACCAGATGACACTATTATTTATCAATTTAAGCCTTTTAATTAAGGGGGTGACATCAAGGCAAAAAATTGCAAAATATACAGAAGAAAAATGTTTTGCCAGTCCCATTAATGATTAATTAAAGTTAAATAGTCTTTTAAGTACAAATTGACAATTATTACCAGAGGGTGGGGGTGATACCATGTCGTAAAGTTCCAACTGTATTATTAACAGACTAAAGATAAACCTCGTTACTTGGGTGACGCCCGATCTAGCTATGCCATTGGGCCTTAGACGTAAGCACTTTATTTAAATTTTTACTAATTTCAAAACTTTAATCTTCAGGTTCTCTCAACATGGAGACAGGAATAAGACAGACACAGGGACAAAGATACCAACAATGTTCTAGAACACTGCAATCAACTGATTTACAACCCTCTGTATTCAAGTGGCTAGAGTACTACCATGTATGTTACTTTAAGAGTTAATTGTTCAGATCCCTTTATATGACTTCTGTGGGGTGGAGGACTATGCTACATTCTTAATATTAAGTATTCCATTTAAGAGTGTAAACTAAATTAAGATATTAGTAATATTATTAGTATCACTTTTAAGTACCATTTATACTGTAGTATAATAAAGTAAACTGATCTTGTCATTTTTTTTGCAGGTGTTTTGTGCTTATGGGTTTATGATTACAGTAAAAAATAAAACCAAGTGCTGTGATAGGTTGAAACAAACCAGGTATGATTGTAAATATGAAAGAATTTCCAATCTGATTTAATTAAAGGTGAAATTTATTGTACAGATTTTTGTTGGTAAACTAATTGCATTATAACAGTAAAAAATGTAACACTGAATAATAAAGCTGAATGATAAATTAAAAACCATTATGTAGAGCTGAACTGTTGTGATTGTATTTTGTTAATTTTTTTTTATTTGTACATGTAAGCTTCCTTTCAGGTCCATGGGACAGATGGAGAGATCTGACTTTGGCATAGGAAGGGATAGTGTAGTCAAGTTCAATACAATGCTCAGCCACCTTTATTTTCCCAACCAGTTACTAGAGCCCATTATTAGAACTTGAGACTATCAGGTTAGTTTTCCAATGTTCTGCTACTCACATACACTGTATTATTTGTATATAGTTATATTTTATAAATCATTTGTTTATTTATCATTGTGAATTTAAGGTTACACTAAACAAGCACCAACTGTACTGCAATGTACTTCCCAATGAGAAGTGGGGTGCAAACATTTGATTTAAAGCAAATTATGTAAGGTGATGGTGTGGCTTAGCTATGGAGCAAGACTGTATAACCCAAAGTCTCAAGTTTGAATCTGGATTCAAGTCAGCAGAACTTCCCTGAGTCCACCCAGCTGCTCTGATAGGTACCTAACTCACGTTAGGAAAAGTAAAGGAGACTGGGCATGGTGCTGACCACACTATCCCTTCATATGCTGAAGTCACAGAAACAGCTTATCTCTATTGCACTTGCCCCATGGACCGGCAGGCTAAATAAACTTAAGTGATGTGATACAGATATTTTCAATTTGTTAACCAAAACATTTTGTTTGTCTGCAGCGAACCTGGATTAATAAAACAGTCAAATCTTGCTGGAAGGTGCTATCATAGTATAACTGGTAACTAAAAAAAATTTTTGATGCTATTTTATTTTAATATTTAGTAGGGCTATATATGAGTTGAACTAAACTAAAAAAGATATTTTCATACATG